AAAAATATGAAAAATTTTTTGTCTCGAGGTTTTAATGCAGAATGGTGGAGAATCGATCTAGAAATCGTTTAAGGTACTCCGCTTGAGAATCGGATAAGAATTGGGGAAGATATAGCCATCACCGTGGGCCCTAGAGCCAAAAAAACCCATCTTCAGGGGATCCGTCAGGAAAAATGGACAAAAATCTAAAAAATATTTTGTCTCAGAGTTTTGATGCAGAATGGTGGAGAATCGATCTAGAAATCGTTTAAGGTACTCCGCCTGAGAATCGGATGTGTTTTGGGGAAGATATAGCCATCACTGTGGGCCCTTTAGCGAAAAACCCCATTTTCAGGGGATCCGTCAGGAAAAATGGACAAAAATCTGAAAAATTTTTTGTCTCGAGATTTTCATGCAGAAATGGTGAAGAATTGATCTAGAATTCGTTTAAGGTACTCCGCTTGAGAATCGGATGAGAATTGGGGAAGATATAGCTATCATTGTGTGCCCTATAGGGAAAAACCCCATTTACAGGGGATCCGTCAGGAAAAATGGACAAAAAATCTGAAAAATTTTTTGTCTCGATGTTTTAATGCAAAATGGTGGAGAATTGATCTAGAAATCGTTTAAGGTACTCCGCTTGAGAATCGGATGAGAATTGGGGAAGATATAGCTATCATTGTGTGCCCTATAGGGAAAAATCCCATTTACAGGGGATCCGTCAGGAAAAATGGACAAAAAATCTGAAAAATTTTTTGTTTCGATGTTTTAATGCAAAATGGTGGAGAATTGATCTAGAAATCGTTTAAGGTACTCCGCTTGAGAATCGGATGAGAATTGGGGAAGATATAGCTATCATTGTGTGCCCTATAGGGAAAAACCCCATTTACAGGGGATCCGTCACTAAATATGAACAAAAAATCTGAAAAATTTTTTGTTTCGAGGTTTTCATGCAGAATGGTGGAAAATCGATCTAGAAATCGTTTAAGGTACTCCGCTTGAGAATCGGATAAGAATTGGGGAAGATATAGCCATCACCGTGGGCCCTAGAGTAAAAAAACCCATCTTCAGGGGATTCGTCAGGAAAAATGGACAAAAATCTGAAAAATTTTTGTCTCGATGTTTTAATGCAAAATGGTGGAGAATCGATCTAGAAATCGTTTAAGGTACTCCGCTTGAGAATCGGATAAGAATTGGGGAAGATATAGCCATCACCGTGGAAGATATAGCCATCACCGTGGGCCCTAGAGTAAAAAAACCCATCTTCAGGGGATTCGTCAGGAAAAATGGACAAAAATCTGAAAAATTTTTTGTCTCGATGTTTTAATGCAAAATGGTGAAGAATTGATCTAGAAATCGTTTAAGGTACTCCGCTTGAGAATCGGATGAGAATTGGGGAAGATATAGCTATCATTGTGTGCCCTATAGGGAAAAACCCCATTTACAGGGGATCCGTCAGGAAAAATGGACAAAAATCTGAAAAATTTTTTGTCTCGATGTTTTAATGCAAAATGGTGGAGAATCGATCTAGAAATCGTTTAAGGTACTCCGCTTGAGAATCGGATAAGAATTGGGGAAGATATAGCTATCATTGTGTGCTCTATAGGGAAAAACCCCATTTACAAGGGATCCGTCAGGAAAAATGGACAAAATATCTAAAAAATATTTTGTGTCGAGGTTTTAATGCAAAATGGTGGAGAATTGATCTAGAAATCGTTTAAGGTACTCCGCTTGAGAATCGGATGAGAATTGGGGAAGATATAGCTATCATTGTGTGCCCTTTAGCGAAAAACCCCATTTACAAGGGATCCGTCAGGAAAAATGGACAAAAAATCTGAAAAATTTTTTGTCTCGAGGTTTTCATGCAGAATGGTGGAGAATCGATCTAGAAATCGTTTAAGGTACTCCGCTTGAGAATCGGATAAGAATTGGGGAAGATATAGCTATCATTGTGTGCTCTATAGGGAAAAACCCCATTTACAAGGGATCCGTCAGGAAAAATGGACAAAATATCTAAAAAATATTTTGTGTCGAGGTTTTAATGCAGAATGGTGGAGAATCGATCTAGAAATCGTTTAAGGTACTCCGCTTGAGAATCGGATAAGAATTGGGGAAGATATAGCCATCACCGTGGGCCCTAGAGTAAAAAAACCCATCTTCAGGGGATTCGTCAGGAAAAATGGACAAAAATCTGAAAAATTTTTTGTCTCGATGTTTTAATGCAAAATGGTGGAGAATCGATCTAGAAATCGTTTAAGGTACTCCGCTTGAGAATCGGATAAGAATTGGGGAAGATATAGCCATCACCGTGGAAGATATAGCCATCACCGTGGGCCCTAGAGTAAAAAAACCCATCTTCAGGGGATTCGTCAGGAAAAATGGACAAAAATCTGAAAAATTTTTTGTCTCGATGTTTTAATGCAAAATGGTGAAGAATTGATCTAGAAATCGTTTAAGGTACTCCGCTTGAGAATCGGATGAGAATTGGGGAAGATATAGCTATCATTGTGTGCCCTATAGGGAAAACCCCATTTACAGGGGATCCGTCACTAAATATGAACAAAAAATCTGAAAAATTTTTTGTTTCGAGGTTTTCATGCAGAATGGTGGAGAATCGATCTAGAAATCGTTTAAGGTACTCCGCTTGAGAATCGGATAAGAATTGGGGAAGATATAGCCATCACCGTGGGCCCTAGAGTAAAAAAACCCATCTTCAGGGGATTCGTCAGGAAAAATGGACAAAAATCTGAAAAATTTTTTGTCTCGATGTTTTAATGCAAAATGGTGAAGAATTGATCTAGAAATCGTTTAAGGTACTCCGCTTGAGAATCGGATGAGAATTGGGGAAGATATAGCTATCATTGTGTGCCCTATAGGGAAAAACCCCATTTACAGGGGATCCGTCAGGAAAAATGGACAAAAATCTGAAAAATTTTTTGTCTCGATGTTTTAATGCAAAATGGTGGAGAATCGATCTAGAAATCGTTTAAGGTACTCCGCTTGAGAATCGGATAAGAATTGGGGAAGATATAGCCATCACCGTGGAAGATATAGCCATCACCGTGGGCCCTAGAGTAAAAAAACCCATCTTCAGGGGATTCGTCAGGAAAAATGGACAAAAATCTGAAAAATTTTTTGTCTCGATGTTTTAATGCAAAATGGTGGAGAATCGATCTAGAAATCGTTTAAGGTACTCCGCCTGAGAATCGGATGTGTTTTGGGGAAGATATAGCCATCACTGTGGGCCCTTTAGCGAAAAACCCCATTTACAAGGGATCCGTCAGGAAATATGGACAAAAAATCTGAAAAATTTTTTGTCTCGAGGTTTTCATGCAGAATGGTGGAGAATCGATCTAGAAATCGTTTAAGGTACTCCGCTTGAGAATCGGATAAGAATTGGGGAAGATATAGCTATCATTGTGTGCTCTATAGGGAAAAACCCCATTTACAAGGGATCCGTCAGGAAAAATGGACAAAATATCTAAAAAATATTTTGTGTCGAGGTTTTAATGCAGAATGGTGGAGAATCGATCTAGAAATCGTGCTTGAGAATCGGATAAGAATTGGGGAAGATATAGCCATCACCGTGGGCCCTAGAGTAAAAAAACCCATCTTCAGGGGATCCGTCAGGAAAAATGGACAAAAATATGAAAAATTTTTTGTCTCGAGGTTTTAATGCAGAATGGTGGAGAATCGATCTAGAAATCGTTTAAGGTACTCCGCTTGAGAATCGGATAAGAATTGGGGAAGATATAGCCATCACCGTGGGCCCTAGAGCAAAAAAACCCATCTTCAGGGGATCCGTCAGGAAAAATGGACAAAAATCTAAAAAATATTTTGTCTCAGAGTTTTGATGCAGAATGGTGGAGAATCGATCTAGAAATCGTTTAAGGTACTCCGCCTGAGAATCGGATGTGTTTTGGGGAAGATATAGCCATCACTGTGGGCCCTTTAGCGAAAAACCCCATTTTCAGGGGATCCGTCAGGAAAAATGGACAAAAATCTGAAAAATTTTTTGTCTCGAGATTTTCATGCAGAAATGGTGAAGAATTGATCTAGAATTCGTTTAAGGTACTCCGCTTGAGAATCGGATGAGAATTGGGGAAGATATAGCTATCATTGTGTGCCCTATAGGGAAAAACCCCATTTACAGGGGATCCGTCAGGAAAAATGGACAAAAAATCTGAAAAATTTTTTGTCTCGATGTTTTAATGCAAAATGGTGGAGAATTGATCTAGAAATCGTTTAAGGTACTCCGCTTGAGAATCGGATGAGAATTGGGGAAGATATAGCTATCATTGTGTGCCCTATAGGGAAAAATCCCATTTACAGGGGATCCGTCAGGAAAAATGGACAAAAAATCTGAAAAATTTTTTGTTTCGAGGTTTTCATGCAGAATGGTGGAGAATCGATCTAGAAATCGTTTAAGGTACTCCGCTTGAGAATCGGATAAGAATTGGGGAAGATATAGCCATCACCGTGGGCCCTAGAGTAAAAAAACCCATCTTCAGGGGATTCGTCAGGAAAAATGGACAAAAATCTGAAAAATTTTTTGTCTCGATGTTTTAATGCAAAATGGAGAATCGATCTAGAAATCGTTTAAGGTACTCCGCTTGAGAATCGGATAAGAATTGGGGAAGATATAGTCATCACCGTGGGCCCTAGAGCGAAAAACCCATCTTCAGGGGATCCGTCAGGAAAAATGGAAAATGTCAACTAAAAAATATTTTGTGTCGCGGTTTTAATGCAGAATGGTGGAGAATCGATCTAGAAATCGTTTAAGGTACTCCGCTTGAGAATCGGATGAGAATTGGGGAATACATAGCCATTACTGTGGGAGATATAGGGAAAAAACCAATATCAATAATACTTCATCTGAACAACTTATCTCACAACCACTGCAACCTTACTGCAACAAAATACATTAAGTTTCAAGTTATAATTTTTTATTTATTTAAGTTTGGATTTTTATTAATTTTTTAATGATTTATTGTATATATGAAAATACATAACCCTGTATTACAAGTTTACTCTTATTTAAATTTTTGAAAATAAAATAAAAGTTTATATTTATAAAGTCTAAATATGTTTCTAATCTTGTAGGTTTTAGTCCACTTCCTCTCGAATGTTGATTTCCATTACTTCAGTTGAGTATCCAACTACTTGAACATGTTTACCGTCTCCAGTGTGGAACACCAGCTGTAGGATTTGGTGAAAACGCTGCAAAAAATAAAAAAGAAATTCATGATTATCGATGATAGGAAACAAATTTTAAATTGACTGGTTTGGCTAGGCAGTGCCAACATCAAATCGTAAAAGATTGATCTTACTTTTCACGCAAGTATATCAAAACTTCCTGCTCGTCAGAAGTCAGCCCGTCCAAGACAGCATCCAAGTTGATCCGTAGGAGTCTGCGATTTGGAATGCCGATGAGGAAGGTGCTCGCCCCGTCCAGTTGCATGGTGTAGTACATGGCCAGTTTTCCCAGCTCCACTCCCCTCTGGCGACATATCTCCGAAGCACGTTTGCCCACCTCCAGAAGCTCCGGACTGCCGGGATGCCACGCAGCCGGTCCGCGGTTAGTCAGCAAACCTAGAGCGTGGGCGGCGGCACAGATCACGCCCACTCCCAGCTCCCGGAACGCCTTCATGTGACGCAGTAGGGTGTTGTCCACTAGGGTGTAGCGGGCATAGCTGAGCACCAACTGGATGCGACCCTTTCCCCGTTCGGCGCACTCCTTCAAAATGTCCACGTCGTAACCGGTAATTCCTATGAAACGGGCCTTTCCAGCCTTCACGTACTCCTCTAGAACAGGTATGGTTTCGTTCAGCACCATGTCCAGGCTCGGAGCGGCATCCACGTCGTGAACTTGTAGGACATCTACTGAATCCAAGCCCAAAAGATTTAGGCTTCTTTTTACACTTTCTCGAGCCTTCTCGCCTGTGTAGTTGAACATCTTTGCCGGATCCCTTTCGTAACGAGCCACTTTGGTGGCAATGTAGTAGGCTTCCCTGGGCACATCCTTCAGGGCCTGACCTAGCAACTCCTCTGATTTCCCGTAGAAGGGAGCCGTGTCGATGTAGTTGATGCCACTCTTGATAGCCTCGTGCACTGTCCGGATGCCCTCGTCGCGATCAAAGTCATTGTCAAATAGATTCGAGAGAGTGGCTCCACCGAGGGCTAGCGTGGAAACCCTGAGGCCCGTGGAGCCCAGATTGCGGTACTCCATGCGACGCACTTGTTCCTCATTGTGAAAGCCCTTGACGAAGGTTGCAGGCAGTGAACCAGACATGTTTTTCTATTAAATGAGAAACCAAAAATGACTTTTCTGTTAAAGCTGAACGCTCTTTTATAGGCCCGGCATTACAGGTTTTCGACTCAGCTGGGCGATAAGAATTCTACTGAGAGACGAGTCAGATCTAAGAGTACCTATGTATTTTTGTTTACTATTTTTATATACAGGTATGTATATGGAGGAGAAGCTATCAGTATTTTCTCTCTTCCTAGGCCTGGGTGTGGACGCGCAGCTTTTTGCTCTTGAGACAATTCTGTTAATGCACTTTCTTTATTGACTTAAATTAATAATTATGAACAAATGAGGAAAAATAAAAAAATATACTAAAACCTTGTAGCTCATTTAGGCTTCTTGAATCTTTTTTAAAAATAAACAAACTTATTTTAATACTATTTATTTTATTTTATTCATCAGAGAGAAATCATAGCTTTTTTAGGCTTCCAATCAATTGACAAATCGTTAAGAGTAATTATAAATATATTCTGTATATATCATTTTATTGAGATAGCGGCGGTCTTCAGAAGAAGACGTCGAAGTCGCCCTGGGGCTGATAGCCAGCGCCGGGTGGGATCAGCTGGGGTCGCTGCTGGTTGCGCTGGGGCCGAGGCACGATGATGTCGTTGATCTCGTGCAAAATGCCATTGGTGGCGACTACATCACACTTGGTGACACCGGCGTTCTCGATCTTGGGCCGACGGTCACGGGTGATGCGCAGATGCTGGCCCGAAATGGACTCAATGGAGCGCACGAAGGGCCAGTTGGTGGGGATGATGCCAGCACAGCAGACCACATCCTCAACGACGTGAGTCTTGACCAGGGCAGCGGCATCCATAGGCTTGGCACTCTCTCCCGACTCAGTCAACTCCTCGAAGACATCGTTCTTGGGCACCAAAAGGGTCAAGCTGCGGGAGTCGTTGGACAGCAGCTGGGTGAGATTGGCTTTGCGCACTAGCTCCAGGAACTTGCTATAGTTGGGGTTAGCCTCCAGGAGTTTCAGCATGTTCTATGGGGAAGAGTCACAATATTTACGATCCTACACATACGCATTATACAACTACTCACATTTTTGGGAGGGGACAGTGGACGATCTACCTGGTGGAGCACTGATCCACAGCTCTCGTCGTCAAAGTGAACCAGACGGGCACAGTTGACCGTGGCCCGGTTCATTACGTCGGAGAAGAGGGCGTGTGTGGAGTAGAGGTTCAGCCGGACGCTGGCACCAGCCACAGTTGGCAGGGACTTCTCGGACAGCTCACAGGTCTTGATCATTGGCTTGACCACATGGTAGTTGAGGAACTCCAGCAGGTCCAGGTTATGGTTCAACAGCTCCGGCTGATCCTTCAGCATACGGGCCCACTCGCTGTTCTGCAGAGCCTTGTCGGTGGGCGCAAAGATTGTGACATTGTCGAGGTCATCGAACTGGTCATCGTATCCAGAGGCCTCCAGAAGACGCTGGAAGATGGTCAGGTTCTTCTGGGCCATCAGCGAGGTCATAGGCAGGGCCGATTCGGTGGGCAGAATGGTGTCAATGACGTGCAGAACTCCGTTGGTGCCCATGATGTCAGCATCCACAATCTTGGCCACATTGTTGATGGAAATGGTAGCCGGTCCGGTCTGGTTTGCGTTGCCCTGGGTGCGGTTGAGAAGCAGCGCCTCTCCGAGAAGATTATAGGCCGTAGTCTTAGCACCAGGAACGGTGGCCAGCGAGCAGAAGGTCAGATCTAGCATGTGGTTCTTCAGAATGTCTGTGGGTTAGGATATTGGTTAATTATCAAGTATTTCCTGGATATTAGTCCACTCACTTGAGGCACAACCACGGCCTTCCTTGAGGGCACGTCGCAGATGAGGCTCCAGCTTGTCGAAGGCAGCATCAGTGGGCACAAAGATAGTAACTGGCTTGTCACCTTCCAGCATGGCACTCAGGTTGGTCTTCTCCAGGACGGTGCGCATAATGGACATATCAGCGCGTTCCCTGATAAGATCCATAACATTCTTGGTCAGTGGCTTGAGTACTCCGCCCAGCGTGTGAACAAGTGCCTGCTCGGACAGCTTGTCGTGCTTCTCAATGGGCACACAGTTGGCGGCATAGCGGAAAGGCTCCAGACCCAGGGCTACTGGCAACTGGTAGCTATTGATGCGGATCTTCTGGTCTGGCAGTTCAGTCTGCAGCAGCTGCTCATTGGGTACATCCTCCAGCTGTACTTCTCCCAGCACCGCGTGAAGCTTGTAAACGGACTTGGATGGGTTCGAAGACTCGGCCTTGGCATCCTCAACATTCTAAGTGTAAATGTGTGAAATTTAGTGTGATTTTAATAGCGAATGATCATTCTTACATTTTCCTGCTGTTGCTGTCCTCGGTATTCCACGAAAGCCGCATCATTGGGTACGAACAGGGTCACCTTCTTGCCATTTCCAGCGCCCAGCATATCGGCCAGCTCTCCGGAACTACGAGCGCTCTCCAAGAACTGCTTGGCACCCATTTCGCTGGCGGTAGCCTCCACATCCTTGATGTCGATCTTCTCGCAAGGAGTGGTAAAGTCGGCGTTCCTGGGTCGGCCATATCCATAGCAGCATTGGCGAGTGAGCGTCAAAGTCTTTTTCTTGCCGTTTTGATTCACGCTGCAATGGAAAGATTCATTTGGTTATGCTCGTCAGTTTGAGTCTTCCAGCAATTCCACTTACATCTTGGTGCAGACGTGTTTGTTGGGCTTCTCGGCACAAGAGTTAACACTGAACTGGAACTGGCCAAAGAGGGGAGATCGCACCACGCTGCTCACACCGTCACGTTCCTGGCCAAAGGTGTCCACGGTTTCCTCACCCTCCGTCTCGGTGGCCACAGTCTCGTCTTCCTCCTTTTCGGTGCACACATTGGGTCTGGATGTGGAGTAACATTATTAGTTAATAACTTGATTCGGTAATGTGGCAAACTAGTAGATTTCAATCATTTCAAAAATCTAGTAATCTCATATGATTCACCGGCTTAAAAATATTTAATATATATAGAGCATGAGAAAGGAAAGAGCTGATCTAAGTGTGATATTTGTATCTAGACACTAATTTTTACGTGGTTTATACTTTTTTTCTAGAAATTCTTCTTGCAAATTAATTCTCTAGGCAAACCTAGATTTTTAACGCTAATAAATTAGTCATATATCGGACATGCAAATCGCAATGTCAATGTACCCATATCGTTCTGCTCTACACCTATATCAGTTGTATGTATATATAGTACCTCCCAATCCAATCAAAGTTAAACCATGGAATTTATCAGACAGTTCATCAGCACTCGCTAGTGTTTGCTGAATGGATTTGCACAGTGATATATCATAAAAGGCATAGTTATATTCTATATACTTCACACATATAGAGACATATCTGTTTATATATACAGTATATATAAGGTGTTTGCTTAACAGCTTTGCCAGCCCATCAATTCAATTATGGAAATGTTCGTACTTCTGTTTCTGAATGCAAACTCATTGTGTGCGTAGTTTTCAGAAAGTTCCCACTGAACCGTAGATTTACGAATACATCTCTCGTTTTATATACACATATCTAGATAAATGGGCTTTTATGCAGCCAATTTTTCAATTTGCCACATCTCAGACTTTCATTTTGCAGTAACTACAACAACGAGTTCATCGCATATAGTGAAAATGTTGACGAGTCGATTTCACAATTTAGAAAAGTGCAAGCTCGTCGTGTACTTACTCAATATATAGTAAGCATTATATATTCGTTAATTCTCCCTATATAGACACAAAAGCCCAGGTGGCTGGACAATTAATCAAGACTACAATTGAACCCTACATATAATAAGCTCATTCGCTTGGGAGTAATCTTTAATTGAAAATTATTTAAGTCTATAATAATTGGTATGCTCGATTGACGCTACATGGGCGGCGGCGATAAGCCAAGAAACTTTACAAAATTAAAAAATACTATTGAGGGGAAAAATCCAATCATATTTAATAGCCCAAATGAACTTGACATTGTGCTCTCTTAATGGCCAAATGCCAAGAACAGGCAAGTCAGACGCAGAATCACTCGAGTGCGGCGATTAGGAAAGAAGCGAATTTACTGACCATAACATGGCCATTTTTTGGGGATCAAGGAGACTCAGAAAATTTTTCCGGATCCGAGTTATTACTTACCCCTTCCACCAAGGCTCCTGGGCGGCTCCAAATCCGAATCCTCCGAAGGAATTAAAGAACTCATTGCCGAAGAAGGGGAACGACTGCTGGAAGAATATAGCCGGATTCGGGTTATTCACGTCGGTAGTGATGGCATCCACATCTGTTAAATAAAAATAGTAAACCTACTCAAAATATCTTGGAATAATCCATGTACCACTTACTGAATGGCTTTTGGTCTAATCCACTTGGGGTATGAACGGGTGGGACGCTTCCCACCTCCTGTCGTCCCTGCGGCGGCGGCTGCTGATGCTCCAGTGGCACGAACTCAGTGTCGAAGCTGCTGCTGAAGAGTGGCAACAGGTGAGAGGATTGGCGCTGGGGGGCCAAAGGTACGGGAGGGGCAGGCCAAACACTTGCCACACGCTGCGAGGCCTGGGCATGCAGTGGCTCAAGCGGAGCGAGCGGTTCGAGCGGGGCAAGTGGTGCAAACAGGGTGCGATGCAGCGGCAATGGGTGGGTTAAGTGTGGCATAAAGCTGCAAATCGATGGGGGTGGGGGGCGTAGTGTTGTGGTTAGTGTTTTTTGTACGCTAGTATGTTTTGTGTGTGTCTTTTCATGCAAATTCCATGGTGAACGGAACCCCTAAACGAAACGAAACGGAACCCAGGCACAATAATTCATATGCTTTCATTGTTCCCTCACATAACAAGAAGCTCAACTCTATATCCACAAAAACTATATACAAATAGCTATGTGGATCCGAGTTTGTGTACTATATATGCTGATCGTGCTCATTGTTTAGGTTGGTTTTTGCGCAGCATTTGCCTGAGCCGCATATTAAGTGCCTGCCGGTCCAACTCGATACAGAATCAAATGAAAATAACTTTTTAAGTGCCCGAAACAATTGTTAAAAAAAAAACGAAACAAAACTTGAGAAATGTTCCTGCATTTGTCATCCATCAACTGAGATTTATGTCAACGGATTTGGTTCCCTCGGTGCATTCCAAATCCAAGTCTAGGGTGTCGGCGGAATATTTCCAATTGACTCATACACCACTTTCTACGACTTCTGCTTCAAAACTCTGCTTTTTGGCTGCGGGTCATTAAAATTCGCTTCGCGGAAGCTAATTAAAAATAAGCTCATAATAAGTGCCAAAATGGCAAACAAAACCAGACTCTCGGGAAATAAATAATAAAACTATAATGCTCGAGAAGGCAAAACGTAAACAATTTGTTCGTTTTGCTGGCTTTCTGGCTTGGAGCTCTTCAGAGGGGTTCATTCTTTTCAGTTTACAGTCGGGGCTTTCATATAATATATTATAATATGACTCATCCGGAGGGGACGTGATTGGTAGGGCTCAAAGCGGCTAAGCCGACGATCTCCGACGTAGAACCAGGCTTTTAAAGCCGACATTGCGATTTTGAGGCTTGGTCATTGGCCCATTAAATATGGGTCTCTTTTTGCTTATTTTGATTTGGGAGCTTGGCTTTTATAGGAATTTTACAAGCATAGTTCTCTGAGCTCAGCAAGACCAGAATTAATTGTGTCAAATGCAGTTTAAATAAATTTTTACTGAAACTGAGCTTTAGCTTGAATTTAATGATTAATTAAATTCTTTAAACTATATACCATAGAAAAAACTTGAAGACTTAAAAAAAACAAACAAACATAAATAATTTATTAATTCCAAGTCATTATAAACGCCTCCACGTTTATATCCAAGCTTGTTCAAGCCAAACCCTCTTCATCTTGACTTTGGGGGATTTTTCTACAATATTTCGAGTATTTGAGAATGATTCAGTTTGAATACCTTTTTTGTAGAATGCATAGCTAATGCAGAAAATAAATAAAATGTGTAAACAAACTAGATTTTATCCGCTGGAGGCAAAGCGAAAGTCATTGGCCACAGGGCAGCGGAATCAGAGACGACCAGAGAAATGGTCGTGCCGAGGGGCAGGAAGGGATCCATCCGAATGGCTGCTTGATTTAATTAAAGCGCAGCCGTGGCAGGCAGAATCAAAACATTTAGAGAGCGTAAAAGGGGAAAAAGCGAAAAATAAAAACGAAAACAAATTGTGGGTGACCCAGTTCGAGGGCAGATTATAAACTTTTGGGGGGATATTCTTTTGAGCAACGTAAATATGTATGTTTGCTAGTATTACCTGGCCACAAAGTGGCACTTAATGACGTGTCAAATGTCAATTGCTTTCAGGGCCAAAACCGCTCGAGAATTGTGTCAAAGATGAACCCTCCGGCGGCCTGAACTCAAAGGTTGAACTCGGCAAAGTCAGCCAAGTGTGGCGCAGATCGGAGGAAGAGATCTGTTGCACTGTTGGAGCATCAACTTCATCTGTAGCTGGGTTACCCAAGTCCCGCGGTGTTGCCCCACTTTGGTTGCACATTGTTTTCTGCCGGCAATGCAATATCTTTTGCAAAATAAGATAAATGCAACGGCCGAGATCCGTTTGAACTGCAGGGTTAAGCTCGATTGGCGGCCTTTTTCTTAGTGTTCCCAAAACCAAATTCGATGGCTTTCAAAACCCAAGAGATTGCCTCTCTGGTCCTCAACAGTTTCAGTTTAAAGTTATCAATTTGGGTCAATTCTCGCCGGGTCTGTGACTTTCTTTCTGGGGGAACTTTTGGCTCTTCCAGCCCTCTGACGCTCCTCTCCCTCCTCCAGGGCCGTAAACATTTCGGTCAACTTTATTTGCAGTTTCTTTTAGCGGGCGAAATTTCTCCCAGAACAAACAGGGCTTTCTCAGCCGGGCTGAGTCTGAGGAAGTGTCGTAAAAAAGACTGAACCCGGGTATTAGCCAAGTTTTATGGGGTGTCCGCAAAGAACATTAAACCTGGTTACACGCATAAATATTGAAACTTGAAAAGATTGTTTAAGTTTTCTCACATGTCAAATACTTCTGTGTGTTTTGATAGGTAGTTGTCAACTATTAGTCTACTGTGGAATGAAGGCGTGTTGGATACGGGCCGTAAGCTTTTGGGAGTGGGGAATATTTCTATAGTTCACCTGGATTTATCTGAGGATTCGGCAGAGGACTCCGGTGAGCCCTCCGATTCAGAATCCGCTTCGATGGTAGAACTGAAAATTTATACTTTTTTTAAGGAGTGGGTTCTGGTAAAAAGTGTAAGATTGCAGTAGTAATCAACAGGGCTAAGTTATATAATACTGTAAAGCTTGGATTAATCACAATATCAATTTGAAAATCGTGTTAAATATTTTTTTTCATTTTACTGAAAGAGCAGAGTTTTTTTTATTTATTTTTTATTTTGAAGTCGAATCTGTGATTTTAAAATTTTAAACAGTGTCGTGAATATGGGAAATATTATTTAGTCAATGATTGAGTAGTTATAAAATATAAACTAATCAAAAAACCCACTAAAATGACTTTACTACTACATTAAAATGAGTTCCAAAAAGGTGGCTTTAACGAGTTCAGTTAGGATTGATGGTTTTGTGGTTCTGGAAATTTCCTAATAGCTTTCTAGTGCTTTAATGGAACCCAAGTGGTCATGAGAACTGTGTTCTAGCATTTTACTATTTAAAGTTTAGGGTCCCATTCCGATAACATCAAACATTAAGTTCATGCCTTATCAGAAGATGACGATGTTTGTTAGAAACCAAACTCAAACTACTATGTGAAATACTATGAAATGTGCATGAAACGAACACTACAATTTGTTGGTTGAAAATCGAAACAAAAATACTCACTCGCCATAGAAGGGCACCGCCTGGATGGATCTGGTTCCCAGTAGCCCCACTCCCAGGAGGAGCAGGCAAGCCCACAGCCGTGTCATGTTTGGTATCACAATGTTGAGCTAAAAACAGGGGAAACCAAATGAGTCTAGCTGAAAGTGGCTGTAATCACAAGAGGGGCTTGGTTGTTGGTTGGATGGGTCGAAGAAATTTCACTGAGCCGCAAATCAGCTGGCTCAGGCCAGAAAATACAGGTTTTCCACGCCGCGCTGCACTCGCGTATGTAGGTGATTGGACCGACCGACTGGCTGAGTGGACTGGACTGGGACTGCGACTGCAACTAAGATTGAGACTGGATGGGTTGAAACTTTTCCACTGTCTTCACGCATTAATTGCGAATATGTACTCCTCGTCGCACATGTAATTATTGTCAATTGTCTTTCTTTGCAGAAATTGGCACACGTACACAATCAATTAACTAAAGTCTCCTGGCTCCAGCCACCCAAAAAACAGAAAAATATGTTCAACACTTGCTACACAGGCACTCACGAAGTAGTGGTAGGTATTTGAATTTGTATCTCTTGAATTGCAGATCCGACGGGTAGGCGCTCTGAGCCTCTTTTTAAAACTATCTGCCCAAGAACGGCTTGCGGCTCGTATTTATAAGCTGCCGTTGCCGTCGCTGCCGCTGCCTCTGCCGCTGTTGCTGCTACTGTCGGCGTCGCCGCTCAGCGATTGTTGGAGCAGAGCTTGGAGATCCCCAAAGAGAAAGAGAACCTTTGGTGACGTCGACGAGATTCGATTCGAGTGTTTGATGTGCGGGTGGCAGGAGAATGGAAAATGCCAAATTAATGTACGATTTGTGAAAGTGTGAACAGTGATAAGTGTTCTACACTGGACAACACAAGTCACCAGCGAGTTTCAAACAAATGAGAGAAGAAAGTGATATTTGTAGAAAAGATTTAATACTTTTTGAAGGTAAAAATATTGCTTTACCAAGGTTAATAGTACCTAAATTGCTTACAAAGACTTCAAGTAAAAGTAAATGTTTTATTTTCCCTAATTATCCCTAACTCCTCGGAACTATTAAAGGTGAGAAAACATGCCGCAGAGGACCTGTGATCTTACCTGAACTTGTTTTTCAGCTTCTGTTGTCTATAATGCGCACTCCGTATTTTGGGTATTCCCGTAACCTCTGGCACCCATCAATCACCGATGTTTCTATACGTCTTTGGGACTGTCGGCTTATTAGGAGTCTGATCATATTTTGAAACTGTTCCATTGTTTTTATTGTTCTGTCGTAGGAACAAGATGCCACCTTGTAGGTACATGTGTAGATGAAATTGAATTTTGTATTTCTGGGAATTGTGAGAAGACTATCAAACGATTGAATTCCATTTAATTGCTCATTGTTTTGTTTACTTGTCTGGAAAACATTCACCTATCTTATAGATTTTGCAACCTATTATCAGTTTTGAAATAATAGTTTATCAGTTTATCAGTTTATTTTTGAAATAAATATTTATTTATTTTATTACCATACATTATTTACAATATTAATTGGTGCTATGTGTGTAAGTGTCTAGATACTTCTTGTATACGCCGGAGTACCACAAAGTAATTATGAAAGTAAATGAATGTATCCTCGTTTCTTGTATGTCGTTTTCATGGTGCATTATTTAAGATACTTATAGTTTTGATCAAGATTGTACACCTAGATATGCAAATAGTTTAAATGAACCCACCTAATTCGTGAAGTTTCTTTCAACTTTAATTACATTTACATTAACATTACGTAATTGGCATTAGGTTGATATTGAAAAGATTATATCTTAGCATTGTTTCTGTGCGTCGGTGTCAGTGTACTCGTGTTTTGAAATAATCCCCAGCCCTGTGATTATTTAAAACACTATTTTAGTCCTTCTTGAATCCGTCGTCTCTGCTCTTCCGATCCGATTTCTTAATCCTTTTCATCTTTGCCTAGTTTTGTAGCTCTAAGAGGAACTTCCATCACGATCGTTTTTTTTTTGGGTAAACCCGCTTATTCAAATAGTGCTGTTGGATAAGAATACATATTTTTTTAAATAAAAAATTATTAAAAAATTAAGGACTTAAGGACCGCACCTGGGCGCTTGCCTCGCATTCCCAAAAAGCCATTCGGTGCCCGCTTGTCGCCCCAAACATTGAGCCAGGGATGCACCAGATATTGCTGCTGACCAATGGCCTCCCAGTTTCCGGTTCCGTCTCCGTCCTGCTCGCTTTTCTTTCCTCTCACCGCCACGAATTTGTTGTTGAAGTCCGCGAACCGTTGCTTCTTTCCCCTCACATCGTACGCCTTTTTAAAGAAAGTGTGCCAGAACTGGTGGCGATTATATTCTCGGTTAAAGGGTCTTAAATTTATTAATTTAGCGACAAATTGAAAAAGCAAATTAAATCAAAAAGTGTTTTTTTTTTTTAAACTTAATTAAGAAAAACTAGGCTAGGCCAAGGGCCAACGGTATTATATCTTACCTCTGAAAGAGCCGCCCGCTTGTAGTGCTGGTGGGAGACATCCTTCTTGCCGCGCATGCCCACAAAAGAGTTGATAGGCGCCCGTTTCTGCAGCAGCTCCATGGCCTCCTCCTCTTCGCCTTCATCACCGTTCAGGGCCGGCCGCTTCCCTCGCATGCCGTTGAATCCGGTAGGAGCCCGCTTTTCAACATCGCCAGCTCCATTCACGTCTGTCAGGCTGTTTAGGAAATCCTGCAACAGGCCTTCCCGCAGCCGCTCCTCCTCCATGTGCTGAAGGACACCGGACAGGCGGACACTCATCGGGATGAACTTCTTGCCCCGCATGCCCACAAAAGCCAGCGGTGCCTTCTTCAGCCGCCGTCCGTTCTCGGAGTAGTAGGTATCCAGATCGGCATAGTCCAGCGGATCGGGTCCGTTTCCCAGCCAGTTGCCGTCCGTGATATCCGAGGACTCTGTGTCGCGTTCATCATCCTTCTTGCCGCGCATCCCGATGAAGCTGGATGTTGGCGCTCGCTTCACTACCCGGCGGGGCTGCTCGGCACCCGGAGGCAGAGTGCTAACCCCGGAGGACTCCCCAGCCGACTGTAGCTCTGCCTCCACTCCAGTCGACGCAGCCGTCAGCAGGAGCAGCAGCAGCACCGCCACAGCGATCGTTCCGCTCTGACTGCGCATTTAACGGGGAGAGCTTTTAGGCGGGCGTAGAAATTGAAGCGAAAACGAGAAGTCGACCTGTAGGGGAAAAATATAGGGGAATTATTTTAAAAAAGAGTATTTGTAATAAAAAAAGAATTTTAAAAAAGAGTAATTTTTTGTTTTTTGTAAATAAAATATATTTTATTTTACAAAGCTACATGAATTTCAATTAACAAGATCCCAAGCCGGATATTAAATGATTTAATTTATTCCAAAACATGCCTGGAGGTTAAAGTAATGTATTCTATATTTAGTAATACAGAAAACACAGACCATAAATCCCCTGGAACAATTTTTCCATTTCATTTCCGGTCTTGTTTGTTTTTATTTCCTTTTCGGCTTGCATATATTTTCTGTAGTGCACTTAGACTCACAAATGCCCCGCGGCGGCTTCTACTTGACCTTTTTGCTGTTTAGTTCTAGGGAAGAATTGGGACGAGTGGGTTAAGGGGGGAATTACAAGCAGGATGGTTTTAGCCTGCATATGCAAACATCGGTGGCTGCATGACAAGATGTAACGGTTGCTGCTGTTGCAATTTATAGTTGCAAGGAAAAATGAACAAAAAACATATACATATATTTTATTTTAAAAATATCAAAAATTTATTTTTATGAAAAATATAGCGAATTGTTAGTTTAAGATTTACTCTTCCTTTCTAGGCCTTGAAAATTAATATTATTTATAGCTCACAAGCATCAAGAAGTAGCACCCAGTTTAAAGTGCATCTTCCCATGTTAACCAGTTGGCGCCACGCATGATTATGTTGGCTTGCTGTCGTCACCGCCACGCCTTGTTAAGTCAAATTGCCATGCAAATTTCCCCGGATAGATAAGAGTGAAAAAAGTGGTGTCAAAGCCACAACAGCCACCGTAAAAGCTGGAGGAGATGCAACAGCAGCAAGAGCAATGAATGTAGAAACTGTGGCAGCGTCTAACGATGCGCGCACAGGAAACAACAAACATGTAATTCAATTGATTGCCACCGGCGGCGTCAACCGCAAACAAGCAAACATTGCCACAAACTTTGGAACGGGAGGCCAGGGGGATTGCGAGGGTACTGGAGCAATTCAATTGAACTTAACGAAATGCATTTGAATTGAATCAACAGGTTGGCGAAGCACTTAAGCCCCATCAGTGACGCCTCCATAAAATTCTGTTTGCTTAGAGTGGAAGTTCGACTTTATGCTAAAGTGCAAAAGCCCCTAAAGGTGTCCTTTTTAGGTGAAAATTATTACAGCAGGCAAAATGTCAGAGGGCAGGTATTAAGCAAACTGTGGGAAACGTAATGAAACTTTAAATTAACCTAGAATTGCTTTAAACTTTTGGGCAAATTAGTCAAGTAATCACCGATCATTGGTAATGGAATTCTAACTCATTTTTAATGCATTGAGTCACTTATGACTGATCCATTAGCACACTCTTCTTATCAGAAACCCTTGGTTTTTACCGGAATGTTCCATTGTACACCGTCCAGCTAATGCCACAAAAGTTTCCTACTGCAAAATTAACCGACAGAAAATGCGACAGGCTTCCGGGTTTCGGGCTACCTGCTGCCGGCTCGTCATACCACGTCCTGCCACTGGGATGACAGCCGGAGTCCGGAGTCCTACTCCCACGACTACCTTAATGCGGCTAAGCTGTTAACTTGGCCATGTCTGTTGTCTAATTGTCTATGTAGGACTCCCTCTCTCCTTATATCCCCTAACGTGTGAGTGTGGGCGTATTTGTGTTAGTTTCACAGTTTTCAGGATGTGTGTATGTGTGGTGCATCCCAAAGGACACTTTAAACTGCCGACAGGCGTGTGAGATTAAAGACGTGTCGTGGCCTCTTTCTACTAGATTTACATTTTGGCCAACACATTGTGTTCTTGGCTTCCTGCCAATTGTTTGTTTGTGTGTGGGTTTTTGGGTGGGAGGATGTGGAAAGCAATATGCGAATATTAGCCCAGCTGGAAGGCTAACTGTATGTGACCCAGCATCAGATGAGGAACGGACGAGGGCAGACTGAAGCCCGGCAGAAACGTATGAAATTAATAATAAAACAACATAGAAAATTCACTTTTTGGCCAATTGCCTGCGGCTTCGGCTCCATGTCACCCTTTTTGCATGCCAACAGGCCAAAGTTCACAGGCCGAAAACAAACACACTTAATGAATAAAATATGAAGCGTGACTGTACTTTCGAATCAACTTTTCATTGCTTCCAACATCTGTAGTCCTGTTGTCTATATCTATTATGTAACGAGATTTGAATACATTTTTAATAATTTGGAAGGACTTTTCATGTCAATAGGTGAGATGAAGGATCAGGAGAATGGGTTCATAAAATCTACTAGAAATTTAGATTACTTTTAAAATATGTATTTAAATTCTTCTTGCCATTCTTATTTGAATTCTTTTGGCAACATGTGGCGATTCTCCAGAGAGCACTGCAGTTCTTCTGGCCTTATGTTGCCAGTGCACTCTGGGCTTAAAGTATTTTTATGCTATTTGAGTTTAGTTTAAAATTAAAAAACAAAATTTGTTTGGAAAACAGTGAGATATTTCCCTCAAAAGAGGGATTTTCATATCAATATTCATGAAAATCACTTAGGTTTTTACTACATATATATTCATTTTTCATTAACTTAATTTTCTGCACACATATTTATTGAGTTTCTTTAGATAATGCTCGTTAGATAATAAGTTTAATTAACAATCTATTTCCCATATAGAATACATATAAAAATTAAGTTTTTTAAATATTTTTTAGTATCTTGTGAATGAGCCCAGTGTGCACTGTCGTCTTAATCGGGTATTCAATCGGGAATTCTGGTCAACATACGATCAGTTTGAGTTCTCAGCGTTCTGCTCCGGAGAGCGACCCGCAACATACGAAACGGTTACGCATTTACGAACCGGGTAAATGGATTACGGGCAAACGGATAAAAACCAGACCACCGAACTCGAACCCAACAAGTCGAAGAGTAGCGATCAGATCAGGTGGAACGCCTGGTTCCGCTTTATAAAATATTTAAAAAGATTCTAACGATCGCGTTTGCATTTCTGTATTGTTTTCGGGTTGCCCTAAATCGGAATCGTATTAATAAAATCATTGGAAGCAAGAGGTGAGTGTTGTTCAAAAAGTCGCCACCCACCGGAGCTTCACCTTCTCCTCGTAAAACAATGGGCGAAAGTAAGCTTACCTTCTTGCCCCAGAACCAGCATAGTTGAAGGGAGCTCACAGCGTGGTCGGCAATCGGTATTATCGGTGGGCCTGGGACGTGCAAATAATTGAATTGGGTCAAATGTTTAAAGTAAACAGGGCCTTACATGGGCCCTCATTGTTCCTAGTTGATTGTGTGTAGTGTAAAATCTCATGTGCTCCGTAACTAGTACTCGTACTCCCCAATCCGGGGAGTTTTTTTCATGGAAATGTTTTCCATTAAGAGGTTAAATAGGTTCAGGGTTTTCGACAGAATTTCGCTTATCAAGGCTAAATCTAATATTTAATTGCAAAAAAAATGTATTCTCGGAGGGGATTACTATTTTTAATCAGCAGATTAGGAATTATTAATTAGTAATGTTTATTTTATTGCTTACGGAAAAAAACAGAAATAAAAGTTCGGTTTAAAACACTCATTTCTCTGTGGTAATTAAACAAAAAAATATATTACAATTATTGTGAAAATAAATTTATAATGTTAAGAGACCATTGACATTTAATAAACAAACCATTATATTGTAAATGACTTTTGAAGATAATGATATGAAAACTTCTTCATGCGAGAAATTGCCTAAAAAAGTTTGGGCTTTGCATTAGTAATCTCTGAATCATAAATCTGTGCCTTAATTTATAACAAAGATCATAAGCCTGGACAATATTTCGAATATAATCAGTATAAAATCGCCAATGGAAAAAAATTAAATACAACACAAACACACGTAGCATACATTTGTCAAATCGCATAAAATGAAGACGCCAAAGCACAGAAACAATTTGTGGCGATAAGAATGATTCTATAAAAAAGTGTCCGACTACCGAGGAGGAAAAAAGACGTCAATCATAATTGACAAGAGCAGCTGCTCTGGAATTGCAATCAACGAAAGCGAAATAATACTCCACGCCAAAAATAAAGTGTAAACATTAAGCTTGAGCTGAGTCTGCATTAATTGCAGAATCAAAATATGAAATATTCAACAATGTGCGCCCCAAAAACTTTTCGACTAAATGGAATTAATTTCCAACAAAATCATAAGCAAAACAAACAAGATTAAATCGTTTTGTTGTCACTAAGCAATTGAGCCGTGAACTTCAATTGAAGCCTCCCAGTGTCTGTGCACTGAACTCGGCTGAGCTGGACCGAGATGATTTAGTTTAATTTACTAGGAAGCGGAACGGGTTAAGAATCTAGACCAGCCGGAAGACAAGTTCCGTGTAGGAATGCAATTTAGAAATTAATTTCTCTCTGATTGTGAGTTTACTTTCGCCCACAAGCTGGAATATCCTCCAAAAGTGAACTCAGTATTAAAAGTAAACAACAATAAATAAAGAAACAATTATATGGAAAATAAATGATCAAGATTCATTCAAAACATCCAGATAATTATTTAAATTCACGTTATTGTGTGGCTTACAAATGTGGTACAAAAATTAAATGACACACATTGGATATACGACGTCATGTCTTAAAATCTTTACATTGTATCTTATGCCTACAAAAGCACAATTAATTTTATCGCTTTCTTAATTAATTCTATAGCAGAACTGCACGTTTTATAAACTCTGAAATTTAATTTCAATTCAATGTGGATTCATAAATTTTTTGCAAACCAGATCGATTCTCGGGTTTGGAGTTTATGATCATATTGGATTACTCTTACATTTTGTAATAGAAACCGAATCAAATAATCATGTTATTTTTTGAATTCTAAATGTCAATTTATTAAAAATTATTTATTTTTATATTAATGTGTTTATATTAATGTGTAAAATATTATATTAATGTGTTTCTTTTTAACTTGTATCTATTTATTAGATAATCTATTCAGGATGAAGGTGTGCTTGCTGGTCGTTGCAAGCTTGCTCTCGCTGCTGGGAGCAGTGTCAGCCAATCGCACTTTTACAGTCGACTATGATCATGATCGATTCCTGAAGGATGGCAAACCCTTCCGCTTCATTGCGGGCTCCTTCCATTACTTTCGTGCCCATCCCGACACTTGGCAGAGGCATCTCCGCACCATGAGAGCAGCCGGTTTGAATGCAGTGACTACGTAAGTCTCAAAAATTGGTTTTTAAAGGAAATCTTTCATTAAAACGCGTTATACTTCTCAAAAAAGCTATGTGGAATGGTCTCTTCATAATCCAAAGGATGGTATTTATGTCTGGAACAAAATAGCAGATCTGGAACATTTTATACGACTGGCCGTCGGGGAGGATCTCCTGGTGATCCTTCGTCCAGGCCCTTACATCTGTGCAGAACGCGACATGGGCGGGTTTCCCTATTGGCTGCTCAACAAGTACCCTGGGATTCAGCTTCGCACAGCAGATGTCAGTAAGTAGAAAAGTATATACCAAGTAGGATCAAAAGATGCGTTTTTTTATTGTAACCATTGCTTCAGACTACCTAAGTGAGGTCCGCATTTGGTATAACCAACTCTTCAGAAAGATAGCCCCCTATCTCTATGGCAATGGAGGCCCCATTATAATGGTTCAGGTGGAGAACGAGTACGGCTCTTACTTTGCCTGTGATCTCAACTACCGAAACTGGCTACGGGATGAGACTGCAAGTCATGTCAAGGGTAAGGCCGTCCTCTTCACCAACGATGGACCCAGCGTTCTGCGCTGCGGAAAGATACAAAATGTTCTGGCCACCATGGACTTTGGAGCGACATCCGATCTGAAACCCATCTGGGCCAAGCTGCGACGGTTTCAGCCAAAAGGACCGCTGGTCAATGCCGAATACTATCCGGGTTGGCTGACGCACTGGACAGAACCGATGGCTAATGTGAGCACGGATTCGATCACGGGGACTTTCGTGTGAGTATTAATTGACATTTCTTGTATAAGAATTACGGAAAATTCTTGAACTTAAGAATCTAGACAAAGAAGAATTCATTTCTCTTTCATCTCATCTTTTTCTTCCTTAAGTGACGCATATTGTCACATTGCACATTATTGAAACAGACTTATTGGCATTGTAGGGTAAATAGGATTATGTCCGGTACTTGCAAATAAGATATTGAAAACCAATTAAAATTTAATTTAACTGGATGTGTATCTTTGAACTTCTGTTTTAGTAACATGCTGGATAGTGGAGCCAGCGTCAACTTCTACATGTTCTATGGAGGTACCAATTTCGGTTTCACCGCCGGCGCTAATGACAATGGACCTGGACTGTATCTGGCGGACATCACCTCCTATGACTACGATGCGCCAATGACAGAGGCTGGGGATCCCACGTCCAAGTACCAAGCCCTGCGTCGCATTATTGGAAGGTATTTGCCGTTGCCCAATGTACCTGTGCCCGATCCCGTACCCAAGAAAGACTACGGATCCGTGCGCCTGACCAGTTGTTGCAATTTACTCTCCCCGGAGGCCCGTCAACGCCTGTCCACCGGATTCGTCCAATCGGCCAAACCACAAAGCTTTGAGGCCCTGAACCAGTACTCTGGATTGGTTTTATACGAAACCCGACTACCCAGTTTCAAGCGTGACCCGAGCATCCTAAGTGTACCAGGCTTAGCGGACCGAGGCTATGTCTACGTGGATGGGGAGTTCGCGGGCCTGCTTGCTAGGGAAATACCTGTTTTTGATCTTCCAATCAGTGCTAGTGCTGGACGAAAGCTACAGATTTTCGTGGAGAATCAGGGGCGCCTTAACTATGGTCGCCAGATCAACGACTTCAAGGGCATCCTGCGAGATGTGCGTCTGGACAAGCAAGTTCTGACCAATTGGAACATGACCCAGTTCCCCCTGGAGTCGTACGATAGCCTGGAGCAGTTGATATCCCAATCGCATAAGTCACCCCGCCTTGACGTCCCACACCTACTCAACTCAGAAACTCATAAACTCAGAACCCTACTGCGAACAGGACCCACCATTTATTACGGACAACTTGATATCCAAACCAAGAGTGACATTGCGGATACGTATCTGGACATGTCAGGATGGGGCAAGGGCATTGTCTTCGTAAACGGCGAAAATCTCGGCAGGTACTGGCCCCTGGTGGGACCCCAGATCACTCTATACGTCCCTTCGCCGCTCCTGAAAGTGGGCTCCAACCGTATCGTGGTGGTGGAGTACCAACAGATACCAACCTCTCTGGAGTTGCACTTCCGGAACACCCCCATCCTGAACGCGAGAACTGTCTAGGGTAGCGCACATCCTTCGCTATTCAAAACAACAACATACATCATGCATCATTCGTTAATGTATATTTAAATGTAAATTTATGCGGTTTAAGTTCTTTGTGATGGCATTAAAGCGGATCCGAGGAGTAAGGACTTTGTGTCTTGTCTGCCTCGTTATCCTTTTTTTGTAAGAGACTCATTAAAGATGGGCGGGCTGTGGAGGTGGAAGGGGCAGGCCTGGCATGTGTGACCTTTGTGCCTTGTCCAAATTAATCCCAAATGATTGAAATTGAAATCCACAGAAATGCGTTGATGATGAATTCCAAGTCAAAACGCCTCGTCCCTACCAAAGTGTCGCGTCTTACTTCGTTAATTTTTAGGTAGCCAAAAGTTTTTTATGGCCGTGGCTGCTTTTAGAACCCTCCACATATCTGTTTTATTTATTTTGTTAACTTTAAAGGAATTCTACAGTTGAATTAGCTCAACTCATGAGTACATTGTCTATGGTTTGTTAAGATATTTTTAGATTCTTAAAATCGAACAGTCTTAAAATCGCTTTAAAAGCTAAATCATTTAGACTTTACACACTATTGAGGTCGCGAAATCTGCATTTTGATGTTCCTTAAACCTTTTACTGCCCTTAAGATCGTAATAAAATATTCGCTTACAACTTGGATTTGGTGAAACTATTTTCTGGTCTGCTTATTATCCGGAGTGTTCCGAGACCTGGAATCACTCCCCACATGGTCATCTCTTGTTTCCTTAATGAGACCGGCAGCCACAGTAGCTGCTTGGGTTAATTAGTCCGGACTCCGGACACACATACGCCCTGTGCCCATCGCCTACGCATTCTCATTCGCGTGCAGGTGGGCTCACATTTTAAAGCATCTTTTAGGCGCAGCTGCAACTCAAGTATTTGCCAGGCTCACATGCTGTAATTGCCGTGTTCTTGTTGTCCGAGTTGACATAAAACAAGTTAAGACCCTGGGGCAGTTTTAAAGCGCCACCTCGTGTCGCACCGCTGGCGTCTTTTCGGATGAGTGCTCCCCTAATGGCCCCACGTTGCGTGCCGCCACCGGATGTGTGCCATGTCAGTCCCGATCCGGAACGGAATCGGAATCTGGTCCCCAACATTGATGTTCCTTTTTATTAGCTTTTGCCGCCGGCTGCCAATTGACGGAGGCCATCTCCGCCATAAACAATGTTTGTGCAAAAAGATGTAAAACAAAGGAAACTTGCCTTCTTCAAATTACAAGAAGTTTGTTATGTGTTCTTAGCACCCAATTGTAATGAGGAACTCATCAGTTAATCAGGGGCATTTACACATTGTCGGCCCAAGTCATCCGGGATTTGTTTAATACAATTATCGTGTAAAGTTTGTTTGTCTTTCATCCAACCAAAGATCCCATTGTATGCTTCAATTTACTTGCCTTAAGGAAATATGTCCTTTTTATGTTCTTTAAATTGGGTGAAAGTTGCTGGCAAATTTTTATGGCTAAATAGTAAAATTTTCGGACATAAAAAATTATATTAAACTGACCCCAGAGATCAAATGTCACAGGAAATCGGCAATAAGATTTTGAATAATTTTTAAATTTATTGCTTTTATTTTTAATGGTCCTTGTTTTTTCGACATTTTGTTTTTTGTATTCTTAAATAAGATAAGACCCTCTTTATTCTTTAAAAAAGATACTTTCAAAGCCTGTCTATAAACAAAAAAATTTTTCTTGTTCTGGAACTCGATAAGGGACACAAAAAAATTTAACTGTTTAGAAATACCAAGCTTAAAATATTATTTGAATAAAAAAGCACACATTTATTAAAAGTTCTTGAAATCCAAAAATTACAACCACTCCCACATAACTTTCTCAGTGTTTTCTGAAAGATCCATAAATTCTAAAATAAATCCTATTTAAAATAGTAATTCACAATTTTTAGAACTATTATGTTAGCTATATATTCACGTTTCAAAAAGGTAATTTATTCCAAAATTCACTTACGAATAGTGCTGTAAATTATACTTTCACTGAATTTTTAAACTTTTTTTTGCTTTTTGGTTTATCGAGCAACGAACACGCCGAGAAATATGCAACAACTGAGCGACAGATCGAAACGTCAGCGGACTTTTATAAAAGCATGGCACCGTGTTGAAGAAGCAGAGCCACAGAACCGAAACAGGAAGCCCGACCGACAGAGGCCGAAGTGGAGCCGAGCCCGACGTCCTCCTCCGTTCGTGGATATCAACAATTGGTCGAATAGAATTTCAGTGTGGGAGCACATTTGTGTGCGTGCCACCTCCATGGGCATTGGTGTGCTCCTTTATGCGGACGCCACTTCATGATGGCACACAAAAAAAATGCCTCTTCGCCGGGCAATTGAATTGAACGGAAATTCTGTTTGCATATGTGAATAAAACATATGCAAAAAAAGAAGGAGGTAAAATGCGAAAAGGCAAAAAACTGAAAATGGCCAATGTGAAAAGGTAGATATGGAGTACAACAACTGGCCAAGTTGGGAATCCATCGGTATGACGACAAATTAATTTGTATTTCATTGTTTTTTGGATATTTTAATATTTATGATTTACTTTGTCGCACGCATGTTCATGAAATAAAAATATTTGTTTTAAAAACAAACTTGGAAATTACAATTATTTCCCAACGCGTTCCATTAAACAAACAAACCAATTTTACAACGCAAACAAACAAATACGAAAAATCGTATGGTTTTTAATAAACGTTTAGCTTTAAATATGAAAGTAAATAGTACGGATTTAGAATTAATTATGCATAAATATAATTGTGATATTTAATGAGGTGGTGGGTGAAATTTTAAAAAAATATATATAGTATTCTGACTATTATTTTGACCATATCTGTACGACAATCGCTTTAAAATGAATAACTTTAAAGCGGCCGAGACAATTATAACGAACGCGGCACAAACGACGGACAATAAACCCGTGCCGAAATATATCCTTAAATATTCACCCCTGCCCCAGCAACAACAATGCTCTTGAGGCAAGGTCGAGGCGTGGCATTCAAGATAAGACACTTCCCACTACTCGCCGCCACCCACCGTCCGCTTGGCACCCGCCAGTCATAAAGGCCAAGTGGATGCCACACACATCCGGGGCCCAGTGGCTGCACGGCTATTATGGCTGCTTGTTGCAACTTGCAACATTCACGTTGCCAGTTTTTTTTTGGGGCTAAAATTAAACATGGAAGCTCGCGGCTTCCTGCTGGCATCAGCATATCTCGCATCCTTCCGCGGGAGATTCCCTTCCGACTAACGCCTTTGGTTCGTAAAAACTGCAGATGCGAAAATTTGCATTTAAATTGCAACAGATTTCGGCGCTTGTTGCGGCAATTAGCTGAATTTCCATACAACTGAATCACCCGCCCATTCAGCCATAAACTTACACTATTGGCTCAATTCGAAGCCGCTGGTGACGCAACAAATATTTGCAGCAACCATTGGTAAACATAATTAGCATTTAATTAAAATAAAATGGCCCGCCGATAGACAAGCAATTTGTGATTTGATTATCAAAATCAAATAAAGCCGCCACAAAGCCCCTTTCGCTTGAGTCAATATCTGCGGCTGTGAAACGGGGCAGGACTTGGGCAGATAAGGTCCTCCAATGCGCCATCGGCCGCAATCCAGCTGGAACCAGCTGATAAATGCGGAATATAGACGGTAAGTGCGCGTTTAATTGGATTATGACCCTTTACAGCGGATGACATTTTATGGGTCAATGATAGACAGGGAATGGTTTTGTATCGGTGACGTTTGTATCTATTTTTGGTTGCGGTACTCCCACCTGTTGCTCGAAAACTTTTTTGCGGGATTTGGTCGGATTGCAGCAGGTGGCGGAAATTCAATTTAAAATTGCATTCCGCATGGAGCGTCGATTCTGGAAATTACAATGGGGGGAAGGAGTCTGAAAAGTCCTGCTGGGTTAAAGCGAGGGCAGCTGGATGTTTTTCTATTGGTATGATTAGAGTATAAAAAGTGATAGATTTTCCTTCTTTTTTTAAAACTTAGCTAGATTTTTAAAAGGACAAAGTTAGCATAGCATAGAATTTTATATCTGAATATGTTCCAATCTTATCAATCCACCCTCGCTGAATTTTTGTTTTTTTGCTGGGATTTCTTTGTTGTTTGACAATCATTTATTGCTGAACAAATAAAACGTATTTTTCGCCCATATGGATGGCAGAAACTCAATTGATTTATGCCATGAGCGAATTTCGTTATAAAAAATAGGCAAAGGGAGAAAAATAAAAGGATAAAGAAATCAAGGAAAAAGCTTTTAAATATTACTTTCAATGCAAAACTTTTTCTTTATCTTAATTAAATGGATGAGAAACTGAATATTTGATATAAACTAGGACTATACTACAAAAACCGTGAAACAATAAAGTATCCCAATTAAAAACATACATTACAATATACGTTTGTATATTTAAAGACTTCTAATTGAATTAAGGAGTACATGATAATAAATTTAGTGAGTATTTAAGGCTAGGCATAAAACTATATAATTACATAACTGGAATGATAAACACCTAAGAATCGTGAGAAATACATGAACAATTTTGTTATAGAGTTGAAGAAGCTGGGCTGCGCATGGGGCGACTGCATCCTGGGCCTCTAAAGCTGAGTTACTCTCGTATTACAAACGTATGTGTGCTAGACTATATCGCTTTCGATTCAATTTACATAATTTACCTATAAACTGTGGCTAGAAAATGGTTTTGGCTTGGTTATTCGATCCGGATGACTCCTGCTCCGACGCCGCCACTGTGGGCACACATGGGAGGCATAAATGTCCACTTGTCCGTCTCCGGATCATACACCTCCACAGTGGACAAGTTGGACTCGCCGTCGTAGCCTCCAATAGCCCATAATTTCCCCATGTTGGCGGCTAGAGCCACTCGCGATCGCTTGCAATTCATTGGCGTTACCAGCTTCCAGGTGTCCGTTTGCGGATCATAGCACTCGACGGACCGGAGAAAGGAATTGCCACAGTAGCCGCCGCATACGTATATTTTTCCATTCAGCGTTGCCACGCCTAGTCGGCATCGGCGGTTCAGCATAGGAGCCATCTTCACCCAGGAATCGTCGTTTGCATCGTACCGTTCTACCGAATCAAATATGGACAGTCCGTCATGCCCACCCAAAGCATAAACATAGCCGTTTAGTTGCGTTACACCACCAGCAGAGCGATACTTCATCATTTGAGCCACCTGTGGGGAAAAACCCATCTGGATCAGTCGAATTCTCATTTACCTGAACAAGCCTTGACTCACCGTCTTCCAGGTATTGGTCTTGGGATAGTAAACCTCCACGGTGTTGAGGGAGGTGACGCCATCGTAGCCGCCGCAAACGTAGATACAGTCGTCCAATGCGGCCACGCCCACAGCACTACGTTTGCAAAGCATCGCACAGCCCTGAGACCACTTGTTCTTGCGGGGATCATAGACTTCGACCGTGGAGAGGCGTTCGGTACCATTGAAACCGCCGAAAGCATATAGCTTGCCTTCCAATACAGCTACGCCTACGCGGGATCTGAAGAAAAACAGCATGAAATATATATTTGAAGATAAATAGTTAAGAGTTACCTCATCATTGACATTTGCTCGCCCATTTTCCACTTCTTGGTGAGGGGATCGTATATCTCCACAGTGCTTACCGATTCCCCAGTACTGGCCAAGCCTCCCACAGCGTATATTTGACCGGTAAAGAACTCGCCACATCGCTGTCTTGTTCGAAAGCTCTGCAGCAGACCTCGGCGTTCAGGCATTAAATGAAAGTCTTTAGCCTCGTCTAATAGGTCTCGGCACTGGTGCGAGGATCGGATGAGCTCTTCACGTGCCACTCGATCAGCCAGAAACTGTGGGGACAGCAAAGGCAAACGAACAGCGGCCAGTACCTGGGGGAACAGCTCGGAACGCTTCTCGGCATACTTAACCCACTTCATACAGGCCTCAAAAATGACCTCCTCAGTGCGAACGTTAAGTTCATCCCGTCGCATCAGCTCAAGCAACTGGTCGCAGTCCAGGGTGAGAAATTCTTCCGACTGGGCTACTTTGGCAAAGTTCTGGTCAATGTACTTATCAGCGGCGTCGATTAGCTGTCGGCAAATCATCGAATCGGCAAAGGTGCGAATGCCCAGGACATTGTGAGGATGGAAACGGGAGATCAGGAAACTGGCGCAAGCGTCACGCACATTGGGCAGCTGAAGGAAGGAGGCTCCCACCATCAGGCTCTGCACATTCTGGTTGTCAATTCGCACTTGCCCGCTGTATACGTAATTGATGAGGCTCTCCAAGGCGCTCGGCTCGATGGCACTCTCCTTCATTGTGATCTCTTTGATCCGGCTCTCGGCCATGTTGTTGGTAAACATCGCATAGAAGTATGGAATGGTGGCTGCCAGCACGACGCGATGTGCAGAGAAAGTCTGGTCCTCTACCTGCAACAGATCGAATAAAATGAGTTATAATTAGAATCCCAGATAATGCATTCAGAGGGGTTATTGCACGCAAACAACCTTCAGGGTCACATCGCAGAGTTTGCCCATTCGCCGGATCTCCTTGAAAAGGGGAAAGCTATCGCCAAACAGCTGTTCATGCTTGTAGACGAAATATGGGTCCTCTAGCTGGCTGCTATCACTCAAATCCATCACTTCCGCGGATGAAGAAAAATGATAAGGGACGCAATCAGAGATGCCAAATGTTGTTTGCTTTTTAGCCTAGTTAGGTATGGGACTTTGGCGATAGACTAATCGATAATTTACCCTGAGGCGATAAGGGGAACTTGTTGCAGCTGAAAATAACTTAAAACTAGTGGATGAAATTAAAGAAACTGCGGCTTAGTTGGTAGCTTAGTTTAGCTTAAAAGCTATTGAGCTATTTTTCATATCATTGAACTTACCTTGCGTACCTGATATCTTATCAAGCAGCTGGATTTGAGCTGACTTGGGAACCCTAACAGCTGATAAGTGGCACCTCAGTGTTTTCTTCACCCAAGCTAATCTACACTAGATTTTCTTGAAAAACTCGATTACTGGCTGGAAGGAAAGACCAAAACACCCAACAAATAAAGCGTAGATGACTGGGACACGATTGGATGTGAAGGGAGGCAATAAGTAGTTAAAATGGACACCGCATCACCGAGAGAAGGCCAGGTCAGGGAGAGAGTGTCACTAAAATTGATGATGACGTCTCAATTGGTAATTTGCATTTGCAGAAGAACGCGAATCCCATTGAGGCATTGAGCAAAGATGAAATCATCAACAAATACAAGGGCCTGTTAAACATTGCTAAAAAAGCAAAACAGGCGAAAGATGGTAGGATGATGCAAGAAAGAAGTTTCTCGAACTAATCCTAAATTCTGTCCCCATTTCAGAACTCACCGAGGAGAATCGCCTGTTGAAGGAAGCTCTCAAAAGAGCGGCGGAGAAGCAGAGCAGCTTACCGGCCATGCAGGAGATGCTGCAGGACTTTACCGATAAGAATCTAATTCTTACCGAACAGCTCAACAGCTTGAAAGCCAAGAATAAGGAGGATGCTCAGCGGATGGGACAACTGGAGATTGAAAACGAGAGTCTGAAACGACAGCTGGGCAGGCTGAGTGATGAAAATGATGAGCTTCTGGCGGATGTGGAACGAATGGAGAAGGCTATGCACCAGGTTAACCTTCTGGGCAACGAGCAGCGTAAGAACTTGGAGCTCTTGGAAACTGACATTGAAAAAATCAAGAAAGCAGAAGCGGAAAACAACAATTTACGACAACAACTAGCTACAGTATCCGAAGAGTCTGCACTGCTCCAAGAAAAGTACCAAGGACTTAAGGAAATCAATTCGGAACAGCGCAAAAAGTTCAACTCCCTAAAGGATCGCTTCATTGATGTCCACCGTAAACTTAAGGGTCTGAAGGAGTGCAAATGTGTGCTTCTAGAGACTCAGCACGAATACGCTGCCTCTGTATCCAAATGGCAAGTGGAGATTATCAAAGCTTCACAGTTACTGTGCTCGAAGATGACGTCCCTGCAGGCCGAGAATGAGAAACTGAAGCAGAGCACGGGCACGGAATCATCTAGTAACGGACCTGATAGGAAGCGTTTGCTGTTGAGGATTCACGATCTTGAGCGGTTGGCAAAGATTGTGAAACAGCAACAGCAGGAGCTGCCGAAAAGCCAACTCGATGTAGAACATGTTCTCAACAAGCTAAACACCATTGAAAAACTGGCAGCGATAGTCAAAGAACAGCAGAACGTAAATAAAGAGCAACGAGACCAGAATACAGATCAGCATTCTAACGAATTAGATTTAAGCTTATTCCAGCAGAAAAACCAAGAACTGCAAGACCATATCGAAAGCCTTGAAAAGGAGTGCAATAACCAGAGGATTAAAATTCAGGATCTAGAGGCCATATGCGTGGAGCTGCGGCAACACAACGAAGATTTGCTTGCTCGGTTCGGCCTTAAAGAACAAGAAAATGATGAATTGCTTGCTGAAATGCGGGAATTGAACGAAGCGCTGAAGGGACGAGGAGATGCAATCTCACGGCTTCAGGAGCAGCACGAAGCGCAGGCCAAGCGAGAACACGAACTGGAGGAGCAACTTTCAATGTCTCAGCAAGCGACGCTGGAAAAGTCACTGAAACTAGATCAGCTTCAGGGTAGAATCGACGAGCTGGAACAGGCGAATGCGGATGCCCAAAGTGATGTACTGTCGACATCTACAATATCACGCGCCGAAGAACTGAGTCGCCTGCGTGAACTAGAAGACGGTTACGAGGAAAAGTATCACAAGTTACGCGCTCTGGCCGCCAAACTAAAGAAGAAACTCCAGGAGCAGACGCAACAGCTCCAGGAGATGGAGCAAGGGGGCGCACTCAAGCAGGAACTAGAGGCCGTCAAAATGGCCCAGGTTCAGTTGCAGCAGGACCTTAACGCCGCCCGAGCCGAGAACCAGAAACTCCGTTCCAAAGAAAAGGCAAAGCATTCCCATTCAAACAATGTTCTTAATCTCGAAATCGAAGCGGCCGAAAAGTCCCTGGCCGATGTAAGTGCCAAGCTAGCTGCAAAGTCTAATGAGCTCGAAGCCGTCAAGGAATCCCTGACCAGCAGGGAAAACACTGTCGCACAGCTTCGCAAGGAAATCGCCATTCTGGAGGAGGCCAAGAACGGGGAGGCAGAGCATTCCCGCCAACTGAAGGAGCAGATAAACCGGATGCAGGTGCAGGTGAAGGATGCTGTTCATGGCAAGCAGCAGGCTCTGAACCAGAACAAGGAACTGGAACAAGGTGTGGAAAAGGCAAAAATGGAAGCGGAGCAGCTGCGTCTACAGCTGGCGGAGAGCGCCCAGCAGTATGAATCAAAGCTGATGAACGAAACCCAACTGCTGGAAGCTCGGACAGTGGAGCTTGAAGCCCACATGGCGGCCCACAACGACTTGGAAAATGCTTTAAAAACTGCGGAGAGAGCACAAGAGGATATGCGGGTGGAGTACACAGAATACAAGCTAAAGGCTCAAGCGGTGCTGCGCAAAAACCAGAACAAGGGCTCGAATCGGGAGCAGGAGCTGGAGGAAGAGCTGACTTCTTTTCGGGAAAGCGAGCGGAAGCTAAGGGAGAGCAACGATGGCAGGGCGGCGCGACTGGCTCAACTGGACGGACAACTGGAGGCCATGCAGCAGGACAACGCCGCACTGCAGAAACGAAGCAAAGAACTCTCAACATTGGTTGACGAACTGCGCCAACAGAATGATCTACTCACGCTAGAAAATCAGCGCCAAATGCAATTCCAGCAGGACCTGATGCAGAAGCATCGGCTGCAGGTGGACCAACTGGAAGCCGCTCACCAAACGAAAGTAAAGCAGTTGCACCAGCAACTAGAAGAGTCTCATAAGGAGCAAGCCAACGCCTCCAATCACAGCAACACTTCCGGCTTCAGTGGCGAACCAAGTCCGGAGCAGGCAAAGATTGACTATCTGCTGCAGGATCATGATACAAGTCTGGATGCCTCAGCCGGTGAGGTCTCTCTTGCGCAACTGGCGGCTCAGCGCAAAATCTCCACTGCCTCTCGCCGATCACACGATTTTATGCCACTGGATGAGCTGCTAAACACGTCCATGAACCAAATAACCAGCGACACAGTGACCACCATCTCCAATTTCGGACGCAGCGTTTCCCAGCCGGAGGAAGACGACATGGGAGATTATGCTGTACAGAGTGCCCAACTCCAGGCCACCAAAGAGCGTCTGGGAATACAGGAGAGTCGTATAAAGCATCTGACTGCTTTATTGGCCGAGAACGAGCAGGACTTGGCCAAGCTGACCCAGATGAACGACATGCTCAAGGAGGAACTGCGCCGCCAGGAGCGATCCGAGGAGCGGGAACAGCACATGCACAACTCGGAATATCTGAAGAACGTTTTCATAAAGGTGATACCTAATATAGAATATGGATGCATATGTTTATTGACGATCTCTTAACTTTCAGTTCCTTACATTAAACAATGCCGATGAGCGACAGCGCTTGGTGCCCGTCCTAAACACCATTCTCCGGCTAAGCCGCAACGAAATGGAGATGCTGAACTGTGTGGCAAAGGGCCAGAAAGGTAACTACCACCCAACTCCAACTTAAGTTCTTTAAAGTAATGTTCTTGCAGTATCCCCAGATGGCAGCACTAGGAGCTGGACAGGATTCCTTACGGCGTGGGGAGGAAATAACAATAACAGCAACTAAATGTAGCCGTGGAGTTGTATTATCTTGTATAGCTGGTGTTACTGGGATGTGTTCCTCCCGTTGGCCAGTTGCGTACCATACGTTCTGTAAATCTTGTACAATTATGTTTTATATTAATGTATTTTAAAATTACCCGTTGCTGTTTTGGCACATCGTACTTTGTACACCTTCCTTCATATTTGTATGTTTATGTCCGTCATCTAGAGCGCCCTATACAGCACTCTTCTAGCAATATACACCCAGTGCTATGTGCACTTTTATTTAAATATGGAAATCAATCAGTTTTGCAATGGTTTTTTTTTTTTAAATTCGAAATTCTATTACCATATAGATCAGACTATAAATCAATTCTAGCGTTGTCTATTTCTTAGTGTTCCATTAACTGTATTGTGTGTACTATATATATATATGAACTATATATAAATAGGATCGTTAATTATGCATACATTTACATTTACTAAGTGTGTTGTATTGTCCACACTAAAAATATAATTTATACTTAACACAAGGTATCTAAAATCAAATCTGATGAATTACATTTAAAATAAAATCAAAATTAAAATTTTCGGATATCACCGAAGAGTGTAAATACATGCGCAGGTGAAAGATTCAAAATTAAAAACCGATTATAAAATGTAGTTAAAATATGCCAAAAATCAAAGATCACAAGTTGACAAATCCCTTAAAGCCTAATCAGTTGTGTGAGCCCGGATTGCAATTCCTCCAGTTCTATTGCCAAACTCCCGCATAGTTTCCCACCAGCGTGGCCGGGAGAGGACCTCCCGCCGCAAAGAGACGCATTCTTGTGCTGTCGTAGCAGTGCGTGTAGATGGCCGGAACGTACTTAACCTGCTGGAAGCCGTCCATTTCGTCCTCTGGGTACTGGAAGTAAGAGGGAATAATTATCATGGACTCTTATTTTGTATCTGAAGGAAAATAAAGATCACTTACCACAATTCCTTTACTGCATTTGAGGGCTACAGTGCGTGAGGCGTTGACACTGCTTTCCAGGTATTTTCCAGCACGAATATCATAGAACAAGAGCATACCTAATCCTGTCCCTACGGTCAGCAGATTTCCCTCAAAGGAGGTGGCCCTGATGCCGCACCCACTGTACCGGGAGGTTATCTTCTTGATGGTCTGCAGAGTGCGGGCATCTAGCAGAATGGTATATGATCGACAGCCTACTGCATAGAGGCCGTCACTGTGGTAGGCAATGCTCACATTGTCCTGGCAGTTTGGCAGTTTTCTGGAGAGTGTCTGCTTAAAGGTCTCGGCGTTAAATATGTGAATGTATCCGTTGAGCGAGAGGGCGGCTATCTCTTTGAACTCTTTATTGAAGCAGAGAGATCGTATCTAGATTTATAAAAAAATACGTACATTAATGATCATAAATGCCTCTGTAAGATAGTACTCACCCTCTGGGCAGTGCGAACTTCCTTGACGCTAAGAGGGTGTATTGTGGCAAAGGTGGGACACGCCTCCTCTCCCCCGTCCGGGAACTCCATATGGTCTTCGTTGATGCGCCACAGCGCCATACGCGAATCCTTTGATCCAGAAACCAGGAACTGATCATCCAACCAGCACATACCCATGATTAGGTCACGGTGACCACCTTCACCTACGCATACAGGATCCAGTGTGGGCAGTCGGTACACAGCAATATCGGAGGAGTTCCGGGCCCCAGTGGCCAGGAAGGAGCGGCTGGGAGACAACTCAATGGCATGTAGTCCACCTTGCACTTCCGGATGATTAGCTCGATTATTTGACAGTGTAGGAATAGCGTCCACGCGACGCATATTGACATCGTAGACGAGGAGTTTGTTGCACTTGGTCCCGAACACAACCTGGCGGCTACTGAGCCATTTGGAACAAAATACCTTATTGATGTAGCCCAAGCTGATCTGCGTTTCCCGCAGCATGTCGTGGGTGAGAACATAACGACTGGTGTACTCTACATTTACGCTGCGTCTCTGTGGAGTGCATAAGAAAGGTAAATAAACTCGAACAACGTTGGACAAAGTTCAACCGGATAACCAGCTGTACCCACATCTCTAAGCCCGCTTTCCCGGCTGCGTAGGTAGTCACACAGGTTGTAGGACGTGTTGAGCACCTCCTCCTGCTGTTGGGGTGTCTCCTCGTCGCTGCCTGAATCCTCGTAGGTGACAAAGTCGTCTGGTTTATCCGGCTTCCGTCGGCGCTCCTGGCGCATCGCCCGTTGCTTCGCCCGGCGTTCTTCAAGTCGCGAGTTGGCGTGACAGGACGGGTAGGTGCCCACGACGCTGTCGCGGATGGTTCTCACCATGCCATTGAACATCTTGGGGCGTTTATAAGGGCCTTGATTGTTGTCTTAGCCAGTACTTGATTACTTATTCCATTTTACAAACAAAAATGGTGGTGCAAAGATTAAACTGGAACAAGTAGTTCCAACTGGTTCCCACTGGTTCCGAGTGCAATCGATAGGTTAATAGCTAAGTTCAATGAAAATACATTTTAAAAAGTTTTATTCGCTTAAATTTTGTTACCCTGTTCCTACCCTTTAATTGAAAACTTATACATTACTGTTTAGGCTGTTAGATTGAAATTTTAACCAGATATTATTTTTAATAATATAGTAATATCACGGGTTAAATAACTATCGGTTCATCTCTAGGGCGATTGTTTTCATCACGTTGGGTTATCAGCTGTTTCCCTCGGCCTTCCTAGAAAAAATCCGCACAGTTTTTGTTTGTAAATAAAATGAATTATAATGCAAAGCGCGTTATGCGACAGAACTCGGTTTGTATTCCGTCCAATGATTTGGCTTCGTCGCCGATAATGATCGGGCCCGCCACTCCATCGACTCCCGGGACTCCACAGTTGCAGACTCCGGAGGATATTAAGCCCATTCATGTTCAACGCCAAGTAATCCTTTTACAAGGAGGAGGCATAGCGCAGGCGAGTCCTGTTCAACAACAACAGCAGCAGCAACAACAACATCAACAGCAGCCGCAGCCACAGCAACATGTAAACATGAATGCACAAAATTCAGGAGGCAGTGCGGCCGTCAGTATACCCGTAGCCGATGATGCTCCGGTTTCTTTGCTAACAGAAATAGCAGACATAATGCGTAGTTTCGGGGATAGTGATCAGCCCCGCATGGCTAGCGTGAAGCTAGTGGAACAGATCCTTCAACAGCAGCTGCGCGGTATCTTTAACGAGGCGTCGCTGGTGGCCATGCGACGTAAGCAGAACCCGTGTCCATCGCAGGCGGATTTCGAGTTTCTCATGCGGAACCATCCCGTGAAGATAGCCCGTATGCGAAAGCATCTGAAAGACATGCGTATACTCAAGCGTTTTCTGAGCATTCGCACCGGGCGGCCTCAGGACTTCATGGATGACCTGGAGCAGCAGGACGAGGACGAAGAACTAGCCATTGAGGTGAATGAGCTGCATGATGAAGATCGTATGCGCCGTTTGTTTCGTGCAGACCGTATCTCCCAAATTCTAACTGGCCAGCAGTACCTAGAGTTCAATGAGGCCCGGAAGACCTCCTTTTACTGTCGACACGGTGAGAAGATTAAGAACAAGTTCCGACGCTTTCTGGATCTGCCGGCTGATCTGCGCATCCCCACACCCACTATGAACATCCTAGCCTATCTGGCCCATGAGACGATAGCAGCCATTGTTGATTACTCGATCCTGACTCGTCTCAATTCGGATAACCGTGCCACAGAACCGTACAGCCGCGTCACATCCGCTGGCGGGAGTCCGGCCATGATGCACGTATGTCCTGAGGTAACCCAGGGTCGGGGCATGGAGGTGGTAAAGCCTATCAGCGTTCCGGAAATCCACGAGGCCATGCGTCGGTTCCGGCAGATGAGCAGTCGCAAAATTGGGCGTTATCGCAACTCTTGCGACATTGATTTCCGAAGGAGTTTCCTAGCTATCTAGTTTTATTTTTTAATATTGTTCTTTATTAAAGATTTATACCTTAAAGATTTACCTTAAAAATTCATATAAAATAAGGAATTGAAATACTCATCCGATCTTAGTCATTTAAAAACCAATTTATATCTCTGTATTTTAAATTTTGTTTGTTAAAAATGATTTTATACTTATTAAGTGATATTTTCTTATTTTTACATTTAGTTTAATAAATGCATTTTATGATAATATTTCTTGGTTACACAATTTACTTAAATTTTTTTCCAATATCCAGATATGGCGTTCCATAAATGTAATGGGGTTTCTGGTTATTGTTGCCAGGACACCGATAGGTGCAGCAACTCCCACACAAAGTGGCCAGTCCACCGGCGTAATAAGGATTCGATAAATTGGAACGGTAAACGATGTTGAAACTGGCACCGACAGATAAATAAAAGCGCAATAAAGAAATTTGCCGACAGTCGCAGTCACACGTGCGAAACAGAGACAGAGACGCGTACGTATGTATCGCACATACACATTCATAAGAGACAACAACGGCAACAAGGAGCAGCAAGGATGCCAGGGACTGCCAGAATGCAGAAAAAAAAGCATTAAGAGAAGCAACTCGCGAACGCACTTAATAATCAACTGCCTGGTGTGCATACAAATGTGTGTGGTATGCGAGAAGGAGCAGCGGCATAAGGATAAAGAAGTGCAGTCCTTTCTGCAACTCCAGCTCATGACGGGTTTTCCCTTGGCGGCTGGGCACAGAGAAAAATATTAAACATCAAATGGGTTATTAAAGGAAGTGGTTTTTGAGGGATAATAACTTAGTTGCAAAATCTTCTATAACTATTATTATGGTATTTAGGATCTAGTTTCTAGGTTATCCATATTTTAAAAATAAAAAAAGGATCCCAACTATTACATAAGTAATTAGTTTACTTTCAGGATATTGCTCTTAAAAGTATGCTACAGAAATCATAAAAATTTGACGCGAAATAAAGAACAGAAAGAAAAGCGAAATAAAGAACAGAAAGATAAGGGAAATTTAAAATAAATTTAAGTCCTTGACTTGGCTTAGAAACTAAACTGGTCTTAAGTAGTTTAAAAACTTTAAAAAATTCTTATAGTGTATAATATACCGAGCGAAATGCGTTGAAAATTCAGGCATCGTTCCTTAAGTTCTTTGGCTTCCCGTATTCTGTATCCTATATCCCATGTCCTAGCTTCCCTCCCCTAGTCCCCCCAACTAAACGCTTAATGTTGATTGCTTTGCTGGTGCAACTGTAAATCCAACGGCACATTACTCTTAATCGATTGCTCATACGCCTAACGAGCGGAGCGCCCCCAGTCAAAAGCTCCTCGATGGCCAGTTAATGAAAACAAGCTGCCTGTGACGAAATTAAGCCAACAACTTGTTTCTTTTCCATCCAACCTTCGGGCTCCACTCATATTCCCCCTTGGTCTTGGCCCCTTTTGATTCCGACACTCTCACTCTTAATGTTACCAAATTTGCATTTCATGCGGCTCTTCGCATCGTCCCCGTCAGCGTCATCATCATCATCATCATCGTCCATGAGCTCGCCATCGCTGCGCCGTCGTCATTTCTTGGTATTGTCAAGTCACGTAGCCAATTTCAGGCTGGGTAAAGTCAATATGCCCCCAAACCAGATCACGGAGTTGCCTTCAACTTCTCTTAAAGAAACAAAAAAAAAAAAACGAGGAGCAAATAATAAACGCAGATAACTTCGACATGGCCCATTATGCCAAAGGGATCTCCATATTTAAATGAAATTAATTTTTGTTTAAGTACTTTTAATAGAATCTGTCTTTAAGGGTAATGGTTTCTTCTTTTAAGAACAAATGTGATTATTTCATAAATGGTTTCAACATTCTTCTAAATAATATTGTTATTTTTTTCTTTATCATTTGAATAATTTATTTTATAATCAATAGTGTTTTTAAGGTTTCCCCTTTTATGATTTATTATATTATATAATTATTTTTTTTTAATTATTAATACTTTTGAAGAAGACTTTTCATTCCTAATCTTCACAACCTAAATCTTAAGCCCTAGTTATAGAAACTAGGAATATATTCAAGTAAACTTTGAAGATTAGCCTATTTTTACTTATCGCCTTACAATGTTTCTAGTTAAACGCCCTAGATTCAGTTTTTTTTTCTTGTTAGAACAGTAATTTTCTTGACTTAGCAATTAGATATTTTTGAGAATCCGTTCGGCTGAACTTTTTTAATTACTTTCACTTTTGCGAAAAGTTGCTGACGTCAGCCCAAGGCAATTTGTCCCAATGGCAGGCTCCGAGACACCATTGACAGATGCGTAGATGCGAGGGCGGCGGGGGGATATAACCAAAACAAAAACAGTCTCAGAGAGTCTCGCATATTACACGGCCTTTTAATTTGAAACCGACTTGAATTGTGTTGACACAAGTACTCAGGGCTAAATACAGAGGAGCTGGTCATATTCAAAATGAATGAGATTGGACGCCTCCAACAGGCTGACCCCCGTCACTGCATTCTTCCCTTACCTTACCTCTGGCCTAGTCCAAGTCCTTGAGGACACAGCCCGGGGCTCTTCTCGTCTCATTGTCACTCCTTAGCCCAGTGTTTGGTTTTCAGGGTGTGAGTGTGAGTCAGTGTATTTATGCACGCAGGCGGATGGCAGGGCACCAGTGATTCCAGGTGTGAGAACAAAGAAAATTGTCTTCATTTAATTAGTAAAGTGGCACGAACAATTATATATTGGGTGAAATATCAAAATACTTGACCTACTTACTCAATAACGATTTAATTAGCTTAAAGGCGGATGACAACAGAATAATAAGGTAAAGATTGTTTTCGGGGGTTTTGGTATGTAAGTTATGTATTTCAATTATTTAATGAAGGGTTTTAGATTTGTCTGAAATATTCTCATCAAACTGCAATATCCTTGTGGAGTGAAATATTTAATGTAGAAGCAAAATAAGAATACTGAAGAATACTTTAAAAAATATTAAATGCTTATATAATAGTAAAAAGCCACATTTGTAGCTTAAATAACTAAACTTTTAATAAATAAATATTTAATTTTAATTATTATGTACCTAGTTTATTTAAAGAATTACTATACCTTTGTATTGTAAACTACTTCTCAATGGTTAAAGATCAAGAATTAATTCTTTTAACTAAAAGGATAAACTCATCAGTGAGAACAAATTTGAAAAACTGGGAACAATTTGTACCTCTCCAAACGGTTAACAGTGAAGAAAGTGGGATTGGACATGCGCAGTTTCCCTGGGAACAGCATTCAACAAGTTAGTAATGCCCACGCGAAGGATAATACTCCTTAAAAGTAGAAACAGCTACGACTGAAAACGGAATACACCCCAAGTTCTGGGCCTGAAACGTGAAACGAACCATTCCCATCCAAAGGCTGCTGGTTACATCATCAGGGACTGAAAGGAGATGTGACCGGAGGTGAGGAAAGGACCTGAGCTGTGGACCAAGGAGCCCTCTGAATGTACGATGTCTGCTTTTTGTTGGAGACATGACCCATCGAAAATTTGAATGAGTTTCGAAGGATGCCGAAAAAAAGCCAAGGACATGCAATGGCTTAGGCCAGACTACAGAAAGTGTTGGTTTTGGTTATGTTTTTTTTTTTGGGTCCGAAAAAGGCCAGCCAAAATATTACAGAGATAATCAGATAATGGTTTACTTTTTGTTTTAAACAGTGGAAGCAATTGAAAATAATTGTGTTGTAAGTTTGTGCTTGAATTTTTTACCCCAACCAAATTATGAATGCATTAAGAACAGAGGGTTGGAAAATATTAATTTTTATGGGTTTACTTCAATATTCATTTTACTAGTTTACAGTTTTTCGGTCAAAAATTTGGAATAGTTTTTCCCTTTTCCTTCTTTGCATAAAATATTCATTATAAATTAAAATAATTTGACCTGTAAAGGTAATAAAATTCACATGACCACTGTAAAGGTATTTATGAAAATTCATGATACTGGAAACCGCGTTGACCATTGCCATGGTCGCTGGTTAAAACAATTTAGGTTTTGATCATTTCCAATTTCAATTCTATGTAAACCTATGTATCCTTTAATTTGCAATAGGTATTTTCCCTGGAATCCGATAAATTACACGGCAAGTGTTTGAATGCCTTTTGGATGGGGAAAAAAATAATGACAAAAAGAGAAACTTTTTCTACGGGTGGCAAGAAAATAAAAAGATAGTATAAAAGTTGTTGCATTTTTGTTGAATTTTCCTAGCTCTTTCGTGGTCCGCAGCCGCGAAAAGTTCACCTTTTTTTTCTTGGATAGTCTGTATGTGACTTTTGTGTGTATTTCTGAGTGGGTTGCTGGGTGGGTTTTTGTGTGAAGATTACCCCGTTTCGTTGACGATGCTATTGCCATTGCCCTACGGTGCCAGCTGCTTTAAAACTTTTGATGCTTTTCATACATATGCTACATGTGTACTTTTAAGAGCCGCCGGGTGAACTTTTCTCGCTTTCGTAGGCCAAAGACTGGAGGGGTTACTTTGCGAAAGGATATGGGGGTGGCGGAGGAAGGTGGGTCTGCGGTATAGGACACCAATGGGGGTTGGACCTGTCTGTCAAAGTTTTAATGTGTGGCTGCCTAATTTGCTGTGAAAACTGATTTGCACATAATCAAAAAGGTTGTGTGGCCCGCCCTCAGAGCTTCATAATTGAGGTTAAGGTTGTCACAAAGTCTGATTATTAACTATCATGAAATTGTTTAATTATTCCCTCTGCCCTGCTGTGCTTTTCTCTTTTTCCGGGATTAATTGTGGCAGACGACGATTACAAAAGCCTCGTGACTTTGCGTAAAATCCATTTAATTATCAGCAATTAAAGGTGGCTACATTTAATCACTGATCCAAATAATTAATAGTATACAAAGTCACCATTGCTTTGTTTTGACAGTTGATGCATTCGAGTGCATTCAAAATAGATTAACACGAATAAATTTAAACTCAAAAGGAAATCAAAACTCAAAGGGAATTTTCAATTAAGTACTTTTGTACCAAGCGTGAAACTGACACTGTTGAACATCTGAAGAGTCTTTTAGGAATCTCCATATGTTGATTTTAAAGTAGAAGCTTTCGCAAACATTAAGGCAAGTTCAAACACTTACTCCCAATAAATGGAAATCAAAAGCATTCGTATCTTTGCTTCATCATGTCAAATGGCAGCTTATGTTCCCAAAACATATACGTACCCGCTTTAGAATCATGTAATTCAAATTCAATCAAATCAGAAATTCATATTTACCGATTGTTCGCTCCCCGATTGCCACATTATGCGCCCCGAATTGATACTTCCAGCTTTGGCAATGGTCAACACGACCAAATCCGTTGAATTATGCAGTATTTATGGATGCGTGAGATAAACTCGAAAGAAAATTAGTACAACCACCCGCAAGGCCAATGTTGATGTACAACACTCTTTAAAACCGAATCGCCTGACCCCTGAATACGTAATGAGGTCAAACTGTTGGGGCGCGGTCGTGGGCGGAATAAATCAGCGAAGACCCCATCGTAAATTCCGAGACTGTGGCCAAAGATTATTAATATTTTCCATATCGCTTTTGTGCGTCTTAATACTTTGTTTGACTTCTTGAAAAGTGAGACTCCCCCATGGCTGGACAATACAATGAGCCATCTGGGGATTTCTGGCGGCGAGGGGTCAGGAACAGTAGAATAAATCAAGCCAAGGGTCCCCTTACAATGAAACCAAGAATAAAAATCAGCGTCGACATGCAGACCACATCTTTAGTGTCGAAGGGCGGGGATCCATGTGGTGGCCTCCGTCACATGCGGTACCGACTCCGATCCAGAGTCTCAATCAAACAAAGGGCTGGCTATGGCAACGGCTTGCTTAAATGCCCAAAGTACGAGGAATGCTACGGTTCTCCAGGGTCGGATTTTTCCCCATTCTCGACTCGGCAGCCAGCTCTCATATACAAACAAAGGCAATGAGGCCAGGCTGGCTAGCTTAATGAGTGTAAGCCACAAAATCAACGAGTTAAATCGTGTAAAGAATGAAACTGAACCCAGGCAATAGCCTGCAGTACACCTGAAAAAATCAGAAGATACGGGGGGATAAGTTTATGTTTCGGTAAGAATGAAATGAAATATAAGGCTTTAAATGTCCCAAGTACAAATACAAGTGGTAATTAAAAAGTTATTTTAAATATCTTTCTTCTAAATGGGTTTTAAGTGGCATTTTCATAACAATGTTATTTTTAAACTTAACCATTTTCTCGTAAGTTTCCGTCAATCGGCTTGAAGTCGTTCCTTAATTGGATTTAACCAAAACCAAACAAAAGTTAATTACGAAAACGATATGTATCTTAAACTTTTTGAAGCTCTGAAATTTTCTCTGTGCAACGTATATTCCACTGCATTTCGTTCTGGCTTGGAGCTGCACATTTATCAAATTCTAATATGCCTTCCCCGCTGGAGACCCACCCACTTTCCATTCCCGTAACCGCCATCTGTCGTCGGTCTGTGGAATGGATGTGTGCCTTCCTGCTTACAAATGCCGCAATGTGCAGGAAGTACCCCATGGCCCATACCTCGTTCGCTGGACTCTAGATTCCGGGCTTTGGTTTGGTCTACGGACTGAGCGACCAACAACGAGAGACGCCGCAAAGTATGCAGTACAGCCTCAAAAACATTGCTTCATCAATTTCACTTCAAAGAGAGGACCAAAACAATGTGGCAGCTGTGCAGCGGTGCAGCCCAAAGGGACAAATCAATGTGGCTAAATAATTTGTGAATTTGTGCGAACGTCAATCAATGGGCCGGTGATTGAAACGATAAATAAATTTGTTTCCCAAGCAAATCGAAATCTAATTTAGCACGATTTAGTGCAAATATTTGATGAATTTCAAATGTTTTGATTTGACTAACTAGGGATTAGGGATGTTTTGATTTGACTAAGATTAAAATCTTTAATTAACTTGATTAATTACTATTGCTTTTATTAAAAGTACTTCATAAGTAAATTAAATATAAGGATAGGTTTTTGAGTAAGTATTAAATTGTTTCACTTTATTTTTTATGTGTAACGTTCTGATTTTGGTGTTTTAATTGATCAAATATTGGAAGCAATTGCAAATCTAAAATCATATATAATCTTGTGACAAAAGTGTGTGCAATTTATGTTTAATTACGGCAAATACTTGACAAAATGTTCGGCACTTACCTACTTACATATGTATATATCGTGCTGTTTGTGGTAATTAAATGTACGCCATTCGGGCGTTTAATGGAAATAACTGGCCAAAGGGTTTACATTCCCAGAAACGGAGGCTTCGGCTCGTTTTGTGGTCTGCGGCTGCTGATTTACGACGACAGTCTGTCATAATGTCGCAATGGCACTTGTTAATACAGACCGTCGAACCCGCGGGAGGCGAATGGTAATCGAAACTGAAACTGGCATTATGGCAGGAAAGAAAATCAATTTGTCAATGGCAATCAATGCGTTTTTAAAGCACTAAAGCGCACTCCAAAACTGTTGAACTTTTAATTCCATTTGGGGTACCGAGACCAACAAATAAATCAAAGTCATCCGAGGGTCACAGGCTGTCCCTTGTCCCTCCAACTCGCTCCATCCGTCCCTCCCTTGCTGCAGTGTAAAATGAATTAAAAGTACCGACACACCAACAAACAAACAAACAATCCGGAGAATGGTCAAACAAACGTACAATATAGCAAAAGTTTTCAATTTCGCTACAGTTGCGGCCGTGATTTAAGTGCCACAACTGCTGCGACACCCCAGTGTTCGAAATATATATTCAACTCTCGATCCGCAAATAAATTCATTGGACAAAAAATATCAAGGGATAAAAAACGGGGAGCGGCGGGTGAGACACATAAATTTCAACTGCCAGCCATAATTTGAGCAATCATTTAGACATAACATAAATACAAATGCATTTTGTCTAAATTGTTTGCTACAATTTCAGTTCGAGTGTGTGCATTCAATTGAAATTAAATTCAATTGTTCTTTTATTGCCAATCGCATGCACACTGGCACTTACTCACTCTTCCCAGAATCCCACAATCCCAGGATTCCGACTCCTTTCCGTCCCACATCCCTCAAGCTCCACGCGGTCGCGCAGTGTGTGCGATAAACAATACCCCATGCATTTTAAAAATTGCTTGTATTTGAGATTAACGACATCCGCCGTATTTATAGGCAAAATGTTGATACGCTGCCAGGAACAACACTTGGCCAGCCACTTCTGTGAGGTCATGCGGCCAAGAGTATGCATGTTTTTTGGGCAATACTTCTGTTACCGTGGGCGCGCATTGAGCGTCTGTTGGCCAACACTGCGTATGAATAATTAATTGCGCATACGCACCATACTACTGAGCTTAAGTTTAAGCTTTCAGAAGTTTAAAATATAAATATCATTTTTACAAACTTAAAAAAACGGTTAAGGACTACTCAGTAACGGATTGGAAAACTATTTGTTTGATTTTTAAAAACATCCTAATAAAAATAGAGAATACAACACACATTTAATAAAATGTTAAATGCAAAAAAAAATCATAACTTTTTATAAAATATATATATTTTTTGTGGAATTTTTCAACCACTGTCTGTTTGAATATTTATTTGTTTTTGTGTTTCGCCACTGCACTCGTTCGATGCGTAAAAAAAAAGGAAACCAAAATAACTAGAAGCGATCCGGGCAAAAGAGAACAAATCGGGGCGGAACACATTTCATAAATCTTATCCGCGATTGAGCGCACGGCACCGACATCCTTCGAATTTGTTGTCGATTTTTTGGCCGGGTCTGGACTCCGGATCCCTCGTCGGTTATTTTGTGGCCGATTTGTTACTATGCGATTGCCGTTCGACGTGCTCCGGTCGTTCGACGAACCAGGGTCGTAGAGTTTTCCGTGCCTGTGCCTTTGCCTCCGGCCTAGTGGTAGACAGGGGCTGTTCCGGCGCAGAGGCGGTCTTAAATAGCTTCTGGTTCTTGTAAGGGCCATAATGGGTGCGTGGATCGGAGTTCCGCCCAAAGGAGATAAATGACCTTAGGATTTTGGCGAATTGAATATATTTATTAAAAAGATTTACATAAGAGAAGTTTTTTGATAGATTACATTTTAAATGTATATTACAAATATTATAAAAAGTTATTTAGTTTTGGAGGATGAATGTGAATTGAATTAACATTTGACATGGGCGAAATTATTTTGGACCATTAAACAGGATCAGGGCTTTGATCCACTCCTTTTTCCATTGTCCTGGTATTTATTAGCGTTTGCTTTTCATTATGAACACAAAAAATAGACACAAAAAACTTGTTTTTAATGAAACAATCGATTGGTAGTTGATTTATTTTCCGCAACAATACCTGGGGGCCTTTGTCCGTTTGGGAGGCTCTTCCGGTGGAGGTTTGGGGGTTTCCACGTCGGTCTTTGGAGGCGGTGTCTTGTGTTTCTCGTCCGACATGCATTGCTCTAAAGGGGGCTGTATCCATCGGCGAATTCCACCAATTATCATTTGCAAAGCACATACTATGGTAAAGAGAACAGTGGCCAGTACTAGGATCACCAGTATGATTCGGCAGATCGTCCACCCAACCGGATGGTCACCTTCACCCAAGCCGTGGTCATGGTCATCCACATTTTCCCGCTTGGTCACCTCGCGTGCTACCTCTTTGCGCAGCTTGTGGCAGTCGTAGGCCGACATCAGGCTGACGCGAGGCTTGTAGGGCGCCGCCGGTTCATCCGGCCACCAGGTGTCCCAGAGCTCTGCTTGCCTGGGATCGGGCAGCAGGTGGCTGCAATGGGCACATACCTCGCTCATCCAGTCCTGGCACTCGCGGCTCTGTAAACTCAGTTTGCAGGCGGGATTCATTTTTATCAGTAGGAATTGAATCTATTTTGAGAATTTCTTTTCAAAATCGATTGCTCAGATTTGATTAGGAGACAAAGGATTGTTTGATGATCTTTTGCTTATATTTATTTATTTTTATTTTTGTTACCGTTTTTATATTTTTATGTTCTTATGTATTCTATACTTATTCCTTTAAAAAGATTTAAAGATTAGAAAGAGAAAACTATAAATTGCAATTTCACATCTTGTAGCTTTTTATATAAGTTTAAATTTATTCACTGGAACTTTTAAGAATTCAAGAGAACCTTCATTAATCATCAATGAAAATATGAGATTATAGAATAAGAAACGAAAGCCATTTTAATAAAAAAATTATCATTTAAATAAACTCCATTAATTTTGTAATTGAGTATTTAACTGTCTAACTTCTCCTTTTGACCTAGTTTTAGAAATCTTGACCATTGCACACGGTATTTCTTTGTGGGCACAGGGAAGCCCTTTTCGGAACATGTGTAAGAGCACAACTGGTAGCTGCTTGAAGGGGATCCAGCCTCTGCCCCGCAAGAGGAGTATCGAATTTCAGGTTTGAAAAATGTCTCCTGACTGCTTCTGGGGGCTTCTTGGGTTAAAGATTCAGTTTTTGTAGGCGAAGTGGCTACGGGAGATTCCAAATCTGTGGTTGGTGAGAATTCTGCATTGGATGTTTTCGTAAAGGCTTGCGAGTGAATTGGGGAAGGTTCCTGCCGACACAAGCTTATGGGGCAGCTTCTCCAAGGACGTGAAGGAACCGCCGCTCCAAACATTTTATCGGAGCTACTGTTTCGAAGTCTGCCAGTGGAACCAGCTCTGCAACGACCAGGTCCGCCCAAAAAGTAACCCTCGCATCTTGTGGCACTGCATCCCGAGCCATACCTTGATACTGAGCCAGTCTTCGATCCCGAACGGATCCCTGGTCGTGGTCCTGTTGTGGACTTTGATCCTGATCCTTTCCCAGATCCTGACCCGCTCCACGATCCTGACCTTGATTCGGACCCAGATCCAGTCCCTGACATTTGACCTCCTTGAAGGCGCTTGTCTGTCCTACCATTGTCTGCTTGGTGAAAAACGCAACTTCTTGAGATTAGCCAAACCCAAAAAGCGGTCACAAACACTAAAAAAGTCAGTATGAGGCAAAGGATAGCCGGACTTATTTCGAGTTCGTTGACATGTTCGACTTCCAGGTCGCGCTTTAATTGCATGCACTCCTGGGACGTTATCATGTTACTTAAAACTCGCTTGGCAATTTCTTCTGCCATTTTCTTCGCCTGCAGACTCGAATCGCATACTTCTGGAGGCTGCAACAGTCCCGGGAAAGTATTCTGAGTATTTGAAATTTCAGGGACCATTTCTGGAGTATTCGTCGTTTGAGGGACTCTCGTTTGATCCATATTGCAGAAATTTTAGGATTAAATCAAAAGAAAAGATGTAAGATTTTAAATGGTTTATATAAATTTATATACGTTTAAATGCTTCATAAAAGTGACAATAAATAAAAGGCTAGATACATATATACAAACATATATTTTTATTGCTTTTTCATTAAAAAAGCAAGTTTTTATTTTTTTCTTATTTTCTATCTGACGATTTCGGCACCGACTGAGATCTCTGAGGGGGAGCTGGACGGTTGGGAACCGGCGGTAGAGGAGGCATAGTCGGATGCGGTGGGATTAAAGGAAGAAGTGGCCGAGGAGGAGGTGGAGGAATAGGAGGTAGTTTCTCTTTAGGAGTTGCGGGGGTAGATGGAAGAGGATAGGGTTCTTCCTCCGATTTTCTATCACGTGACGAACGCGTTGGGTGTGGACGATTCAAAAGAAGTGCCAGGCGCTGGATAAGGCTTGGAGACTCTTCAGCCGGAAAGTTATCTGGTGGAGATCCACTAAAAATTACTTTTGGGACATAGAAGTCAATGTGCTTATTTTTCTTTTTATCTTTCTGGCTGTCGGCTTTCTTGTTTTGCTCGTTATCCATAAATGGGGCCATCATTTCTAAGGGAATGGGGAAAAGTATATTTATCCGTCGCTCCCTGGCCATTGATGGAAGGAGTTGCAGATGTCTCAGCTAAAGTTACAAGTGACTGGAAATAAACATTAAATTGGAGCTATGGATTCTATTTACCTGCAGTGTTATTTGGTTTTGGGACATAACTTTAGAGGCATCGCTAAGAGCTTGAGAGGCCTTTGCTTCGCCTTCAGCAAGGATAATTTTCGCACGAGCCTCCCTCCTGGCCTCTGCCTCGCTCGCCAAGGACCGTTCAAGACTTGATGGCAGCTTTATATCCATTCTGTGAAAGTTCAGTAAAATAAGCTCGCCAACAGAAGATTAGCACCATAAGTAAACTTACAAGTCCACTCTCTCAACAAGAATTCCCCACTTTCCTGTGATCTCAGCCACTGCCTGTTGGATCTCAAGGGTGAGCAACTGCCTAGAGGTCAATAAAATGTGGAGCGGCTTGGAGCCCACCACATTACGCAGGGTTACCTGGGCAATCATCTCCGTGGACTGACGGTAGTTTTCTACCTTTATTAGGGATTGGATGGGATCGACAACGCAGTAATATACAACTGCATTAACGTTAATCGAAACCGAGTCCTTAGTCATCAGATCCTGGGGATCGACATTAACGACATCTGTGCGAATATCCACTGCAGCGATCTCATCAATGCAGGGAAGATTATAAACTATTCCGGGGCCATAGGAACGCTTTCTGAAGAGGATATTACAATGTGGCATATGAGATGGACAAAAAAAATCCTGCCATTTACCGGACACGCCCCAGGCGGAAGATCACAAAACGCTCGAACTCGTACGCCACAGATATTATAAAGAGAAGTGAAAATGGTAAAAGTACAACCACTACAGCCCATGAGAGAAACACTGCGATTTTTTCAAAGCCATAATTGTTCGGATCTAACAAGAAAATAACATAAAAAAAAATGCAACTCATGAGAGCTTTATTAATAGATCTACTGTTTTTGTCCTCATTTTTTTCCTCCTCTGAATTATTTTCCTTTTGTAAATTCTCATTTGGATTGCTCATCACATAAAATTTTCAAAAATCAGGCGAGCAAATAATATGAAGTTTATTTCAAATATTACAAGTCCCATTTTTATACCCTTGCAGAGGATATTAAAAAATTATAGAGGACTATAGGGGAAAACCCAATTTTCAAGGGGGTCAAAATCTAAAATATATTTTTTCTCAGGGTTTTGATGCAGAATGACGGAGAACTGATCCAAAAATCGTTTAAGGTACTCCGCTTGAGAATCGGATCAAAATTGGAGAAGATATAGACATCACTGTGGGCCATATAGGGGAAAACCCCATTTTCAAGGGGGCACCTGCCGACCATCACGAAAAATGGACAAAAAATCTAAAAAATATTTTATCTCAGGATTTTGAAACAGAATAATGGAGAATTGAACCAGAAATCGTTTAAGGTACTCCGCTTAAGGATCGGATGAGAATTGCCGAAGATATAGCTATCACTGTGGACCCTAAAGGGGAAAACCCCATTTCAAGGGATCTCATCACGAAAAATGGACAAAAAATCTAAAAAATATTTTGTCTCAGGATTTTGATGCAGAATGGTGGAGAATCGCCCCAGAAATCGTTTAAGGTACTCCGCTTAAGGATCGGATGAGAATTGCCGAAGATATAGCTATCACTGTGGACCCTAAAGGGGAAAACCCCATTTCAAGGGATCTCATCACGAAAAATGGACAAAAAATCTAAAAAATATTTTGTCTCAGGATTTTGATGCAGAATGGTGGAGAATCGCCCCAGAAATCGTTTAAGGTACTCCGCTTGAAAATCTGATAAGAATTGGGGAAGATATAGACATCACTGTGGGCCATATAGGGAAACCGATTTTTTACGTGGTAAAAATGCCATCTTCATTTTTTTTCAAGATACTTATAGAAGCGTGGGACTTTTTTGTTGTTTTTGTATTTCAATAAATTGGTTGCATAATAAAAATCGAATTAGAATTGACCTACTATATGCGATATTTGCGATAAGTATCCGATCTTAACGGCAAGTGTATATCAAGTCCGACTCCGCCCGAAGTGTCTTTTCTTGTCCTAGCTGTCTTTTCTTGTTATTGTAGTTTTTAGTTGACCCACTTAAGTACACCCCGAACATACACAATTAACTCTTTGTTCTAACCTTTTTTTATTTTTAACCAAATCCAAAGATTTTAAAATTTAATAATTTCCATATTTTGGTAGCTGGAGTAACAGCATAAGTTAAATTTTATTTCGAATTGCATTTTCATGCAACTTTCCTGAATGGAAAACTTTTGGTGCGGCCGGGGGAAAAAAGAGCTAAAAAATACAGTAAAATATGCGAAATGGTCAAAAATTTCAGAACGTGTCGCTCGTCGAGCAAGTCCATTCAAAAACATAAAAATTTGAGGAAAATGAAATAGAAGGGAAAAACTTTGTCACAGAACGAAGCTGACAAAAGTTCATAGAGCCAAAGAAGGAAAACTTTTGTTTTCTCGCCTTCTTGGCTTGAGTTTTTTTTTGTTTCTGGGGTTTCTTTTTTATGAAGCGACAAACAAATGGCAACTGACCGACCAGGGTTAGGGTTTACTTTCGGGTTTGGGCGAGGGGTAATAACTTCGGAATGACTTTTGTTGCTTCCTTGCGGCAGACTGTAGAAGTTGCTACTATTTTTATTATTTTTCTTATTTTTTTCGCCACTCCGTGACCACATGTGCCGGGCCTGAAAGAAACTTTTCCTTCCTCGCCAGATTCATGGCTCGGTCGCCATCATAAAGTAATTTATGTGATTTGCCCATTCTTCTGGTGACCCCTGACTGCCTCTTGTCCCCGCCGGTCACCTCATGCCACAATATATCTGATTGCAAGTGCAGCGACATATGGTCATGCCAGAGAGTCCGCATTCGAGACCGAGTAGAGCCAATTATCCTGGCGCGTCACATAGAAAATTACTCTATTATATTTCGCTCTGACGACGGATAAAGTTATTAGTCCCCAAGGAGCAGGAACAGGAGCAGCAGAACGACGAGGATGAGGTCCCGGCTGCTGAACAGAAAAACAAAGAGCGTACGAATGTTCCAACCCGCCCTGATAAACTAATCCATCATTGTCACTTGTCTGAGCGGGAAATGGGATCCTCGTATGGTGGAATCTGGAAAAAACAACAAGGAAAGAGCTGCAGCAGGCACATGGCTCAGTCTGGTGTGCCACCTGTTGCCACCTACAGCAAGGTGGCAAATTAATGGCATTTTCATGCACTCTCCGATTCCGCATCAATTGCCTCAATCATCGGTGATTGGCGAGCGATAAGAGCAGTGTCTGTCAATCCCAGGTAGATGGCTTGAAAGATGGCCAAAGCGGATTTTCCCAACCAGCATATTTTTAGAAGTAGATTGAAATTAAAGAACAACAGCTAAGGATTATCCTAAAGAGGATTACTGAATCCAGAACAGAGTGTATAGTCTGTAGCTCATACATTTAAAACAATTGAAAAGGTTTTTTTATTTCAACTTTAAAGTAAAAAATATATTTTAAATTGAAAGAAGTCTATTTATTTGTAAATTCTGATTCCGAAAAGTTGGCGGATGAGACTTCCTTCAAAGAGAGCTTATCCATTATAGAAAAAGCATTTGTGCAAATGGAAACAAAATTTTAAGTATATATATATTTTTTTTAACAACCTTTGAACCAAAATAAAATAAAAAAAAAAATAACAGAAGCCATGCGGGTTAAGCCAGCACACGCGGGGGCAGCATGGTTCACTAGTCTTTCCGACTTCCAGGTCGAGGCCATCGACGGCCTCTTTGTGGCGCTGCGGGACGACAGTGCCGAGGCCTCTGTGTACCGGACACAATTTTGTCTGTCCCGTTTGGGACTTACGCCCATGGTGAAGACCCGGTTGCTTCGTCAATTGATTGCCATGAGTCGGTGCAGCGATCTGGCCTTCTTGTTTTTTTTGATGGAGGCCTGCTACAAGCGTCCGGAATACGCCTACAGTGCCCGCATCCTGGAAGGCGGCATTATGTACTTGGATCTGGAAATGACCATGAGGGAGCTGGACAAGATCCTACCTCCCGGCGTGGATGCACCCAGAGATTCTGTGCCACGACCAAGCTGTAGTTCGAGGGCGACAGCTCCACCGAAACCAATAAAGAAAAGCACCCGGTCGCCCTATTATTTGCCACTGCCAAAGCCCAAGACACCGGCGAACTTTTCTAGCAAATTCACCAGTCAGCCACCACTACACGTGGTCTCATTTCCGTTTTGGCCAGCCGGCGAGAAACCCAACTACAAGGTTGACGAGAAGAGCAGATGGTTTGCCACCTATCGGTTCGAGCCGATAAGAAGGATGCTCCTTGACACGGTGGGCGAAATCATGGAGGAATACTGGAAGGGCTTGGTGGGAGCCGACTTGAAGCCCTTGTGCGCGACGTGCGCGTCGCACGTGGAGGCCGGTAAGCAGGCTCAGCTCATCAAGGACGAGGCGACAGTCATGGCCAGGGACAGGGCTTTGGCTCTGATGGATCTGGATACACGTAAGAATGAGGCTCGGAAAAAGCGAATCATAGCCATGCTGGATAGGGACATCGAGGAGTGCACTCGGCGCTGGCATCGTCTAAGGTATCGCCAACATACCGACGTAATGCTGCTGGACGATGTAAATCAAATGTGTTCCGTGGACAAGGTCCCCACTGCAGTGGAACCTAATAAAATGAACTACATCAACCAGGAAGCGGATATTCGGAAACTAAGTGTGGCACCCAATATGGATGTGCATGTTATAAAAGGAAAAGGAGATGTAAGCCTAGTAAGGACTATTCGTATTTCGGACCTCGATGAGGAACCCGATTGCCCTTGGCATCCTACAGAGAGGAAGCTGAGCACATGTCCGCCCCAGATCCTGGGTCGCAAAAAACCCACCAAACGAGTATATATGGAGCATAAGAAACCTGCAGGAGAGAAGGACTATGAACCTTGCGAGAGGCCTTTGAGGAAAGGGCGCTTCTTTGAACGGCCCCGTCCGAATGGTCCTTTTGTGTTCCACTACCATGAGCTAGCTCCACAAGACGATGATCCGGCGCCTTTGAATGTGATTTGCAATGAGGCTGTTAGGGTTATCCGGGATCCAGATTCACAAATGTCCTGTTCCAGCGATAATGTCTACAACTGCCGCCTTGACCCGCGCGCCCAGGTGGTGAATGCCATTGTGGAGTGCGTCGAGGAAATGTGGTTCGGATCACTGGAGACCTACGGACAAACGCCATTAGAGAAAGCACAAGACGAGGCGGATCTTTTGAATCCATGTGCCAAAGATATTGTAGGACCGCTAGATTGGACCAAAAATATAGCCAATTTTGATCCCGACAACAAGGCGCTGATGGATCGCCTTTTGAGAGATGGATTTAATGAGCTTAGAAAGGATCCGCGTTGCGTCTATGCCAGTTTCCCTAACTCCCACAAGTCCTTTGTAATGTCCGAGTGGATAAAGCGGAGGTATGGAAAGACCTACAATGAAAAGGAGATCTGTCGTTTGGTTAAAAAAGGAATACCCACATTCCACCGGGTGGCCAATACTATGATGAGTCCTCGTAGTCCAGACCCCGAGGGCTTCACTCAAGAAGATACCTTCGGTGATGTGGAACGTCTAACCAAAATGGCAAACGACTTGAAGATTGCCTACCGTATGGACTTCAACAATACCATTCTCGACAAGGCTCGTAGGCTCTGGATGGCCATGGTACCCCATATGAACAAGGATAGTTCCATGATCAAAACCTTTTATGCTTACCTTCCTGTCCGGTACGCGGACATGCTGGCTTAGGATATGCCAGACTCTGCATTGAGCTTTTTGTTTATACCCCCTAAATTTTTAGTTTCAAAATTATAAGTTTTTGTTTTTAGATACTTTTTAAAGTTTATATTGAAAAGCCTTTTGTAAAAAGAGCTATGATTGGAAATATTCAATAAAGAATTATTATTACGGGACAAAAGTTTTAAAATCTAAAAGTAAATATAGTTATTTGGGATTATCAACTCACTGAAGTAAGTAATTGGAGGACCACAAAGATGAAACTATGAATAACTATTTGAACAAACTATATTCAGCATAAAAGAAGAAATTTAATTAATGAGCGGCATACAAATAAGCGGATAGCGTGCCGCGGCATTGGTGGCATGGTTTGTCCTGCCTTTCTCCTGCATCTCCACAAAAATTCATTGAAATTACCAAGCGTGAAATGAGCAGCTGTCACAGCGGCACAAAAGAGACCGAACGAACGACTCGAGTCCTGTTGGACATGCAAAGCCAAGGTCTGAGACACAGAAAGGAGAAAACGAAATCACGGAGTCTGTTCCGACTAGCAGTTTATCCATTTTTAGTAAAATGCTGAATTTGTTCGTGTTAGTTTCCTACAAATAAAAATTTCTAACATTCAAATTATTTGCCCCCAAAATTCGGAACATCCCTAACCGAAAGCAGACCCCTGCATCCTGAGATCTCGACAGCAGGCGAATGGCAATTTGAAATTTCATTAAATTTGTCTTTTTGCACACGCTTTCTCCCACTTTCGGTTTCATTTTTTTTGGATTCATTGTTCGTTGGCAGCAATGGATGGTGCGAAAACAAAAAAGGCGCCATTGAAATCAACACAGATGACTTGGCATTGAAAAAAGGACATTTGATACTCAATAGTCCCTTCTGTCGGCACTTGAGGCAACCGAATATTTCGACTAAATTTAATCATGTCGAAGCTGTTTTTGGCCCGCAATTCAAGCCATAAATTACAGTTTCATAAGGGCGAAGCTGTTAATTCCTAAAATCAGAATCAGAAACTGAATTTTTTGTACAGTCGTTGGCGTAAATCTGGACAAGCGATAAGTCCACGTCAGGGCAAGCACGCGTACTTCTCCAGCCGGAAATATCCGGACGGAGGACCTCAAGAAGCCGGGCGCAACAAGCGACTAAGAGATAAAATCTCATTTTTTCTTTTCTCGTGCGGATTTGTGAGCTCACTAAAGTGCAGGAAAGTACAAATGTCGTGACAAGCAGGGGGAAGGGCGCAAAATACGTAAATTTGCCGAGTGGGTAAAAATGCGAAAATGTGTTGGCATTAACAATGCCAAAGCTGGGCTTAGATAAAACGGGAATGTGAAGAGGATAAGAGCGAATGTAAGGGCAGGGGATTTTTTCAGGTGACCAGACAGTCCGGATCTTGGAAGCAGTTCACATAATTCCCATATACCTTTTATATATGTAGGTATGTCTGAATGGAAAGCATTTTGAGTTCCTTCAATTCAAAGCTTACCAGTACTTTCAACTGAAAAAGTAACATGCAGTTAAGTGAAATCGACTCAGACAGTAAACCGAAAAAACAATGATTTCTATGATTTTTTTTTTCATTTTTTCTATTTTTTGTTAGAAAGTCCTTGCTAGTCTCCTGCTGCGATCACATCGCCGGCACAATGAAAATAATGCCACCCAAGCCATCACAAGACCCAAATCTTAGACAGCCTTTGCTGAACATTGAGCGACACATGTTTGGCAAAATGTTTTGCCTTGTCAGCAAAGTCCTGGCCTTGACTTAATTTATGCTCGGCAGAAGGTCTCTGATATGCATAAACATGTGTTGGGTGCTCAACTGAGGCGTATAAATGTCTTGCTAATGACACTCATCCGCCTCCCGGGCCCACTGCCACGAAGAAGGTCCAATTGTTATTTAAATTGCGTGTTGAATTTGCTTAAAGTAAAAACATCGCCGACAAGCTTCGTGGTAAGGCGCTAGAGGAACTTTTGCTAAAAGAAAACCCCATCCAAAGGATGCCGCAGACGCAATTTATGCGATACGGATACGGATACGATCTGGGGGATTCGCAAAAAGGGACCTACGGACAATGCTCAGGGAAAAGTCAGCCAGCAAACCACTAACGAGCACATTTAGTCTGCAATTCTGCTTACATCTATTTTTGCCATTTTTTTTGTGTGGTCCCACATGCTTGTTTCGCCAGCTTCCATTCATATCTTCCACTTCATTCATCCTTGCGTTTTGGGGCCGCTCCATTTCACAATTTTTTTTGGGGTTTTGGGTTTTGGTTTTTGGTGTTTCGGCGGACATACACTCCAAATGCATTTGCAGCTGCATGTGGCACAGTGGAGGAGTTGCCAAAAGGGCGTAGTTTTGGAGCCAATGACCCTTACGTACATACTCTTACGGAAAGTGAAAGCATTTCGATTTCATTAAGCATCTTAACAAAATAAAAATTAAAAATGTTAGTCAATAAAATTATTGTCAAGAATTATTATGTATTCCAAATGTATCCTCTTCATGAGCTAATAAGCTTATATAAGCTTTTTATATTTTAATATTTTTAATAAATTTTGGTGTTAGTTTTGTTAAATTTCCAAATTCATAAAAAATTGAAGCATTCCAACTTTTACTTTCGGGAAAAAATAGACCCACAGTAATAACCAGCTGACTGTTTTGGCCCAGTTATCGCCATCAGCTATTTCAGCTGTAACTTCATTTGGTGCTCGTTTTCATTAGCGGTTACCCAGACGGAGGCCACTTTCCGGATGACCTGGCAGTTGCCAAAAACCCAAAAAAAAAAAATAAAAACCCGGCTAAACCAGTCAATTTGCCGGCTTAAAGCGACTGCGGTTTGCTAATAGAAAAAAATGGCAAACAAACGTCAAAAGTCCCACAACTAATGCCACTCTAATTATTTTGGCAATTGTGCGAAAAAAAAATTGGATTGAAATCGGAAATTGTTTTTTCTTAATTAGATTTTTGTAGAGCCAAATGGCTAAATCGTATTTCATGTTAATTTGAAAATTCCCGAAATCGTCAGCCCACTGCCAGCCAGTAAACTGTCGATGTGAATAAAATAAACCAATTTCCCAACGTCGCATTCGGAGAAGGCTTCCGGCCGGGAACCCTACGGTCGGTCGATGGAAGTATCCGGGGGGTATCCGGGGCATTGGTTGACCGCAGACGCGGATGTTCGGGTGTATGTGCCGAAATTTGGCATGAAAATGAAAATGAAAACGGAAACTTTGCACCACGCCCTTGGCCTGACCAAAAGTTGTGTAAATGTGTGGGATTTGAGCCGGGAAGGCATAAATTTCAATACAGCCAAAATGTCACGCTTCCGCACCCTTTCGAAAAATCGGGTTGGCAAATTGAAATAGAAACAATTTTGAGCGGTTTCGGTTTGGGTTTCAGGCGGTGCACATTTGCAAACGGGTCATGCGACGATGTTGCACGTTTTAACCCAATTTTCGGTGTTCGCCCAGCCACGTGGCTTTTAATTGAGCCCCGACCGTCAGTCACATCTAATTATAATTGCCCGCGATGGCTGCCGGAATCTCCGAGGCAATATTTCAATGTTATCGTGCCAGTCATCGTCACGTTCCCGCCCCGCAGGTATTATCATCGGAAGAAGGCTTCCCGCTCGACAGCACTTCCTGTCCCCATCCGCCACCGCATCCTTTACTCCCGGTTCTCGCTTTTCCCCGCAGTCTCTCCTTTTCCCCTTGACTCATTTTGGATGACTCCTTCGGAAGGCCTCACAAAGCCTTTGCAAAGGCGACGCGATGGCAAGAAGCCCGCCAACCGGCTTTTGTAACTGAAATTAGGAGCTCTCCGTGTCGGGTTCATTTTTCCATGTCAGATTTTGACACTTTGGCGAGGACAGGCGTGGCCTATGGTACAGTGCGTTTCAAAGCCATATGGAAAATTTGGGTCACCCTGGTTGAATGAAAGAATGTAACCAAAATAAAAAGTTGCTTATCAAAACAAAATATTTCTTCTTATGCTTAGTACTTGGCTTACTACTTGTTGTTTTAATTTTAAAAGTATTCAAGGTATGAATTAGCATTACCCAAAATGGTATCTGACCATATTTTCTGAACACAAGAAAAATGCATTTATCTCCCTATTCTATGAAAACATGTTAATTTCATAGATTTTTGAGGAAAAGCATTTCAGGCACCTTACAATTCTTCCCTCGAAAATAAGCAAAGAAAAAAGTGGCTTGCTTATAAGTAGAGTAATGTGCACTTTTGTGGTTTTTGTGGGCTGACAGGGACTGGGATGCAGTTAAGCTTTTCTAGCTGAAAAAGGGAAATTTATGAGCACTTGCGGGTTCTGTGCACTTCAGCTCCCCTCATACAATTTTACACATTTTCAGTAGCTTTCTGGGGGAACGAAATGGAAAAATTCATGAGAGTAAATAGTTTTGTTTGAGACTCATCTGTCCTGGCAAAGTGAAGTTAATGTTGATCCCTTCGAACGAAACCTTAGAAAAGGATACTTTGAGTAAGTAATCGTTTGACTATATATAGTTTTTTATGTATATACTGAATTAAAATTTTCGTCATGAAAAAAGAAACAGATGGTAACAAAACACCGCCTGACGAACCACCACAGCAAGAGTTTCGAAGGCCTTCTGATGGAGATGGGAAAGGAGTACCAACTAGCCGATACATTAAAACTAGTAAAAACACATAAGCGGAGTTAGTGCTTTCGAATCCGATTTCTTTGCTTTTTTTTGCAGCTGAGGGCGCGGAAAGTTCGAAATTTGAAAAGGTCGCAGTGGCCCTTTGCTGGATGCTAGTCGTTTTGACATTTCCCATCTCCATGTTGTTCTGCCTGTTAGTCGTCCCCGAGAATCGCCGAATCGTTGTCCTACGTTTGGGGCGCCTCAAGTTGAGTCCTGGACTTATGTACTCTCGCTATTAACTGACTTCCGCTTGAAAATCCCTAACAGGAAGGGCCTTCTCGGACCTGGTCTAGTTTTTTATTTACCCTGCATCGATAGCCTTCACAAAGTGGACCTCCGCACCCGTGTGACAAACGTGAGGCCACAGGATGTGCTTACCAAGGATTCGGTGACGATAACCGTCAACGCGGTTGTTTATTATTGCATTTACAATCCGATTGACTCGATTATCCAGGTCGATGATTTCCGGCAGGCCACGCAAATGATTTCCCAAGTAACTCTGCGAAATGTTGTGGGTTCCAAGACCCTCAATATCCTGCTTACTTCGCGGCAAGCCCTTTCCCGTGAAATTCAGGTGGCGGTAGCTGGTATCACAGCTCGTTGGGGAGTTCGGGTGGAGAGAGTGGATGTGTAAGTCAATTAGTTTTATTTTATATTTTATTAAATTTAAAATTCTTACAAAAAAGAATCAAGCAATAATCCTAGTTTGATTCTGTAGCTAACATTATATTGTCAATGCTTTAAATTGAATCAATTGAATTTCATTTCACTTACAAATAATAAAAATTAAATAGCATAATTTATCGCAGTAATTACTATTTAATTCATATGCAATTGATGGGTCAATTAAGGAATCAAATTATTAATACCCACGCATTGTAATAGCACTTGTGAATGACAAAAGCAATGATAATATTTTTTCAGGATGGATATAGTTTTGCCACCAAGCCTGGAGCGTTCCTTGGCCAGCGAGGCGGAGGCTGTGAGAGAAGCGCGTGCCAAGATTATTTTGGCCGAAGGAGAACTTAAGGCCTCTAAAGCTCTCAAGGAGGCCTCCGATGTGATGTCAGAGAATAGGATCACTTTGCAAGTGGGTCTTTAAATAACTTACTTACTATTTGGCATTAACAACTCCTTTTTTTTAGTTAAGACACCTACAGATTCTTTCGTCGATTGCCACAGAACGAAGAGTGAGAATCATCTACCCTATCCCCCTGGAGATTATGGAGCCTTTTATGAAGGATGGAAAAAAAGGTGGTGATGCAAACGATGGTGATGGAAAAGATGGCAATGACAAAGATGGAGGTGCAAATGAAACCGCTCCAATTGCTGCCAACCAATCTGGTGGAGGTGTTGCAAAAGAACCTGGTGGAGTAGGTGAATCTCGTAGTCCAGATGACTCTGCTCATAACTGGCGGTCGGGCGCAGGAGCTCCGAGTACCAGTGGCCTGTTGTCTAATATGTTTTTTGGCGGGCCTAGATTTCAACCAGACTTGGAGCCCATAAGGTCCCATGAAAGAGTTCATCCTGAGCCCTCCAGCCCTGGACCAAGTAGTAAGCTACTGATTATGATTGTCTGTCTAAAATGTATGATTTTTTAAAATTAAAAAAATTTTCAGATGAAATACAGATAGCAAAAGATACGAAAGAGCGCCCCACATGTACGTATGGTTTATATATAACGTATTATATGTATAATAATAACTAATTTCTATGAACAAGATGTTTCCGTGGACATAGGACTAACCAGACAGAGTATGTTTGTAGTTTGAAGTTAACATTTAAAATTAACATTTATTTTTAGACTTCGTTCCATGCTCTACGGACTTTAAGGATGCTACGGAGACAAGCACTAAGCAGACAAGAAGTATTTCCCAACCACCAAGTATATAATGGCTTTTCTAAAAAAAAAAGGTCATTCCTCTCTAAACCGTTTTTTAAAATTTAAGTTGCGGGACATCGGCTGGCGTTTATGGACATGCTATCTTATCGAGACTTCCTGCGAACTCGTTGGTAATCAGCCGGCGTGCTGGCAACCTCCTAGCAGTCCTGTGAGCCCTGGCAGCAGGACAATGGGAAGGCCAAGCGTGAAATGAGCAACAGTCACGTCAGCCGATGGGGCCACAAACTTGATTGAAGGGCATTATCCTCGTCCTCGTTCTTCATCCACCGCAGTGACATTGACACTGCCATTCAATGGCCTCCTTTTTTTGGCACGATAAAAAATAACCGAATATTTGGCACTTTTCACTAGCGGTAAGAATGGAATCCCCGGGTGGCAATTTATCTCTTTTAATAAATTGGAAGTTTTCGAGTCGATACTTCAATGACGGTGCAAAATATGGTTTAGCCTTTTCATCATTAAACTTTTGTACACTAAACCCTAAAAAATGAATTATGGATTGAGGCTTAGAGAATATGTAAAATTTCTGCAAAAATTAATTCAATTATTTTTCTAATCCCATCAACAATTGCCAAGAGCACACAATTAAATTGGAATTAACACAGCCAGAAGCCAGCAAGAATTGTACTCAAAAGTCACTCAACAATTTTTGGTTTAACATTATAAATTGGATCAACTTTGCACATTTATTATTTAATTTGCACAAGCCAAAAAGTTGGCCCAAAGGAGAGAACTGGGCGTGGCAGGATGTTAATGCATGGCTAAGGTTGTGTGCGGACGTGTTCATGTACTTGTGTGCTCACCGTAAATTAGCAACGAAAGTTTTTCAGCTAATGTGCAAGAAATTGCAAAGAAATCAAAGCAAAGGCAGGTCTGATGATGAAGTTGTTCACCAACTAATGTGTCGGAAAAGTTTATCCTAAATAAACAAATTTTTTAAAGACTTAAACAGAAAATAGTAAAGAACAAATTAAACAATTGAATATAGTAAACAAGAAATGGAGCGTGTGTCACTTTTTTACAAAATTTTCTTTAATATATATTTAAATTTAAAAAAGATTTGTTCCAATGTTCAATATTTTTATTAGGAAAATAATTTATCTTGAGCCATATGGGTCGTATACGTAATATGTTTAACAAATTTAAAGCCCTGGAAAGTATGCTATGAAATTTTTGTTTTTAAATGAATAACGCCAAATATTTTTTTTAACAAAACATAGAATTAAAACAACACAAATATAAAATATACGTTGTTTTTTTTTTTAAATATACATATATATTTATTAAGAAAAATAATTTATCTTGAGCCATATGGGTCGTATACGTAATATGTTTAACAAATTTGTAAGCCCTGGAAAGTGTGCTACGAAATTTTTGTTTTTTAAAGTGAATGACACCAAATATTTTTTTTTTAGAAAAAATATAATTAAAACAACAATAATTAAAATATAATTGTTTTTTCTTGAGAAATTACCTTAAAAGAAATATATTTAATTAATGTACATATGTTTGCGGGCCAACATGACGTATGCGTAATTTTTTAACGATTACCTAGTCCAGAAGAGTATGAATTCAAAAGGTATTTTTTTTTCAAAGTGGGGGTAGTCTATATGAGCGTGTTATATCATCCACACGAACTTTCGGGACCATTATGTCCTTATCCTTGTTTATGGCACATCGTTTACTCGACTTTTGTCTGGTGTACGAGGCTCGAGCGCTGTTTTGTCGCTGGCAGTGTTTGTTTTTGTGTTTGCGTTGTGGGCGAGCGTGCGTAAGTTTGGCTGCGTGCTCATTGCCTTGTGCGTGTTCGAGCACGCTCTTCGAGTCAGGTAGAGCTGCACACCTGCTTTTGCTTTTGCCTTTGTCTTGCCCCTCTTTTTCCGCATGTTCATACAGCTTTGAGTTCTGACTCAGCAGCTGTTGTTTGTGCAGCACCATCTCTTTTGCACATACTGCAACTGCTCGTTGCAGCCAGCTATCCAAATTCAAATTTGATTTATGCAAATGGCACACGCAGCCGTAGCAACAGCAAATGGCGCTCGGGTTCTGGGAGCCGCTGTTTGCACTTGCCACTCCCGCCAAGTGGCCAATACCCGGCAGCCAAATAAGCAATTGCCATGTGTGTGTGTAAGGCTGTGGGTAAGGGTGCTTCCACATTCCAAGTTCGTATTCCCTGGGGGAGATTCTTTAATTCAAATTTAAACAAAACGATAGCAAATACCGGCCCTGCATTCGGATTTGGTCTGTTTTTCTTTTCATGCCTTTGGCTTGCACTTGACATTTGTTCATTTCAGTTGAACACTTTTTGTCTCCTAGTCTTACACAGAAAAAAATATACAGATTTTTGTCTTTATTCGAATTGTAGTCTATTAAACTTAAAATTTAATTTTAATATTCCTATTTTAAAGGAAATCTAAGCATTTAAGCTCTTTGTTTGGTGTTGACCCTGAATCACCAAAAAATTAAACCGTTTTCTTTTGTAGCGTGTATCTTCACTGGCCCTGCAATCATCTGGGCTCGCTTCGGCTGACATATGTGGCACTGTGACCGTAAATGTTCTGCCATCTGTTAGCCCAGAGACAGTCCAGAAAAAAAGGGGAAACCAAGGGAAAGCAGGGGTTCTAGCTGTCACTCAGCTGGGGCTCTGCTTTGGTTTAAGCATTTCCTTTTTTAGTTTATCCCTCCGACCTCAGAGGCGGAATTTTGTTTTTTTGGGGATTTTATTGACTCAACGCTCCTCGTTCAGGCTACTTTTTCGCTTTCATGTTTGTCATTGTCAATCTCATTTATCGACATCCGTTTAATGTCCAGCAATTTGAATTGGGCAGACCTGTGTGGCGTTCAATGCCTTACTTTATCATTCGCATTCCAGTTCAAGGCTGAATAAGATTTCCAAAGGCTGCCAGAGGTTGTAATACATCCGTTCAGGCTCAGATTAAAAGTTGATTGATGACTTTTATCAGCGAAGTAAGACGGATATTTCGATTGCTTTAGTTATAGGAACCAAAAGCCCTTCATTTAGCGGTATTCTATATACAAGGGGCATATCAAGCCCGCAGTTTAAGGCCTTAAACTTTTAGGCTGTAAACTCAACTGGTGCCACTTAACAAGCATCTCATCGTTTAGCTTGATAAATCATCTTCCTTTTCAGCCTCCTTCATTCTAAGGTATTGTGGCTCTCCATCCATAAACAGTGTCTTTTGTAAACAATCCTCCTACAATGCATTGCCCTTAATTGGCAGTGGGAATGAGTTTCTTTGGGCCTACCTGGCAATCGGCAGCCAAACAAAAAGGTTTCTGACTAAACAAGCTGTAAGCTGCCTGGTAATTGAAACTGCATTGTTGGGCACACGTCCAAAGACGACGCCAATCCTGATACTGCACATTCCCAGCCGCAGATCTGAAGGGGTCCTGGCAGGGGGAGTGGAAGTGGTACCACAATTGTGTAGGTCAAACAAAGAACATGTCGGCAGAGGCAGCCGCAGGAAGAACTCTCAAGTTCTGAGGTGATGCTTCGTGGTGCCTGAAGGAATGTTGAAATCCTGCGGCCGCCCGAGAGTGTGTATAGAACCTGGCTTAGCATTGTAAAAATTAACAAGACATTTATGCAGGGACACACACAAAGGTGTGCTCCTGGAAATTGTATCCGCATCCCTTCCACATCCCTATGGCAACATAAATTAGCCGGCAAATGGGAACAAAATCCCTCCGAAGAAGCAGAAACACATGTCCTTGGGTTGTCAAACAGGGCCAAGAAAACAAAAATAATCAACATAATACTCCAGCTTGAATAAGGGGAAACCCAAATGCAAATTCTGTGCCAGAAAGTTGCCAGTTGCTAACTCGCCCAAGACGGCGTCTCAAATTTGTTTGCCAACAATACAGAAACTCTCGAGCCCAGAAGCTGTATCTTAATGAAAGGATGGGGTCCATCTTGTTGCTACTGGAGGATCCACAAAATGTTGCGTAATGTTCTCAACTGTGTACTGTTGAAACTTTCCGTCAAGTATACGCAGTGTAGTACTTTCCCTGGCTTTCATTACGAGTCACGCCAAATTGTCAACAGCTAAAAATTTTGCATGAAAAACAGAACGGAAAAATAAAGAAAGATGTCTCGGCTTCGTGGGAACTTCAATTTCATTAACTAAGTGGTCCATACCAATTAAGTTTTGTGCATTTTGGAATAATATAAATTAATTAGAATATGCTAATGAGGCCTCCTTCGCCTCCGGGGTATTCATGGCATTGCCGAGCGTTGCGAAACTCACTTCGCTGGGAGTCAATTGGCTTGAATAAATTAGCGCCAGCAATGCAGGCTCAACGCCGGGACAGTTGGCTTTAGCCGTTTATTGACCCGGCCGAAATGGCTTCCCATTGAAAATTGTTTCAAGTGTCTTGCACAAATATTTACCATTTAATGTGGCCCTAGGATCGCTGTCTAGACAACAGTCGTAATCTTTAAGATTGTATAAGAAATGGTTGAGATTTAATGATAGTGATATTCTTGGGTTGCTCTTGAGCTTGGCAGACCTTTAAGATTATGTTACAACATGTTGAAACATCAAGTTCAATAATCACATCCACCTTGTAAAGTTATCCATTTCACACTCTAAAGGGCTATACAGTCTCCGCGGATATAGGAGTATCTATTTTTTATATGGAAACATATGCATTGACTGCCCTATCCTCGAACTCTGGTGATTCTATCATTTTCTTTCGAATGTCTCACTAAAGACATCGTTTCGTTTTGGAGATGCATGAAAAGGCATTCAAATTCGCAAATGGCAACGACTATTGCATAAATTCGTGCCTTGGGTATGGTATTCTAATTCGATGGCATCAGCACACGCAGACTGCCAGCCATTTGACCTGGACAGGCACATCCTTCTCCAGGACCTCGTATTCTGCCGAATTGTCTGCGCATCTGTCTGGAACAGTGCACTCGCATTGGCATTGGCATTGACAGAAAGAAAGAAAAGAAAGGAAGGTGTCCAGTCAGTCAGCCAGTTCGTTCGTCATTCAGACTATGCCTGGCAGAAGGCGTCAATAAGACCGAAATTTACGTCGAAATGGTTCCCTTTCCAGTTTCATCGCATTAAACCAATTTCTGGGGACAGGCAGACGATTTCATTTTGGCCTGTTTGCCAAATTATCGTTTGTCCATTTTTTTTTACGCCCATTATTGATTTCTGAGCCTGCAGACAATTTTCCCCAGAAATTCAATCTCCGTTTGGGAAACCCAGAAACCATAATTTCGGAAAGGTGTAAATTCAAAGTGAAAATGACTTGAAGCCAAAATCGAATTAATTAATTAGAAAACCGATTTGTATTTTGAACCGATTTGTGGCAGAACTTTATCTTCTGCCATGGAACAGTACTCATTTGAATTGTGTTGGAATTATAATCACAATAAAATCGTTGTGCGCACATGACTGCACCTATTATCCATTCTTGGCATACAATTGGACCATTCAACTTCAAGCCGGATTTGGATGGCTTTCTGCCCCCCACATTCAAACTTTTGACTAATCAGACAATCGATCAGGAATCACCTGCTTGAAGGCAGGCTTGAAAGTGTTGGACTCGAGTGGAGTTGACATCACTTTCAATTATGGTCACTAAATTTTGTAATTATCCCTAATGAAGTGAAATTAATTTCTTATCGGATCATTACGGCAATATGGCTTCATCTTGTTTGGCACAATTAAGGCCCACAACTTCATGGCCATCATCCCGTCAGACCATTCGACATGCAATAAAATGTTGAATTGTTTACGAATCATGAATTTAAAATTGTTTTGAATTTCAGTCATTATATTTGATAGCATTCGGATATATCCATGATAGCATAAAACACTTTTATTGCCAAATGAACCGAAATATTGGGGAGTGTTTTTTGTGTAATTAAAATTTAAACTTACATGTAATATTTTAAATCAAAAAGGAAATTTTTTATTTTTAAATTGCTTATGTTCATTTATACGAATTTATTAAATATTTGGCTTAAGCTTGGAAAAAATAATGGACAATGCTTACAAAACCACATTGGTTATTTTAATAAATGTACACAAAACAATGGATTAAATAAACTTTACGTAGCTTAAAATATATTTTTTGTGGATTAATTTATAAAATAAAAAAGATATTATTATAATTTTAGGCGTTACTCATATTTTCAATTTAGATTACTTTGGCCAAATACAAACCAATTTTTCTACAAAGATACAATAAAAGACCAGCCAAATACTTAAGCGTCACCAACAGGATCTGCACCAGCACCAGGTCCTGAAGCATCGGCAGCTTCTGTGCCATCTGTGGCAGATGCATGGGCATCTGCGACGTCGTCCTTTCATTCGTCATCAGAGAGGAGATCGGAAAGGCTGAGGTCCGAGGAGCGCTTCTCCAGGCCATCGTCCATTTGGGATTGGGGCTTGACGGCGGGAGGCAAGGCGTACATCTTTACGCAGAGGACGACATGCTCGTGGAATTGTTGCTCCGAGTCCAGCATGATGGCGGCGGCGCGATGATTGAGAGGGTCATGGGGGTTAGGATGACGCAGCAGCTGGGGCAGGAAGGTATCAAAGATGTTCACCAGGTCGTAGTTGGAGGACCAAGCCTGCTTGAAGACGTTCATGCAAACTAGGCCCGTGGTGAATTCAATGTTGGGGTGCAGGATCTTGGTGACGAAACGGACCCGCGGCGCCTTCAAGGGATATTCCTTGGGCATGGACACGTTTATAGTCCATACGCCACCCTCGTAGGCGGTGCCTAGCGGCCCCTCGAAGCGCACGTCTAGATTGGCCATGTCCTTGTCCGTGGTGGTGAGGTAGCCGGAGGCCAGCAGCCGGTTCACGTCTCTGTGGAGACGCCGCCCGGCCATCGGCGACGTTGTGTTCACATCCAAGTTGGCCATCGGATCCGCTGCTGTCCTGCGCTGACTCCCCAAAGGAACTACTGGGATTTTGAGTGCACTCGTCTGCTACACAGAGGTACCTTCAAAACTATTCATCTACCATTTAAATTTTGTGTTTGTTATTGGCTTCATGGTCAAAACTAAAGACTTAATACTTACACATAAAATGTAACCAGAATTTTGTATTTTTTCATTGAAATTTTCTACGAATATAATCCCGCCGCCTACTCGAAGAAACGATCCACAATTGCGACTAATTCATGGCCTTCTATATTTTTTAACGGATATAAATATACTTGGCAGTAACTGTATCTTTTTATTATAAAAAAGACCATTTTCCTAGGTTGGCTTCTGGCTTTCTTTCTTGAAAGCAATTACTTTAGATATTATAGTTTTCTACTGACCCAGAAACGAAACCCTATTTTACAGAAAATAAATAGGACTTATTTATTATATTTACCCAATTCCGGCATACTTCCTCCCGGCTTTTTAGCCGTGTCGCATTGCGTCTAAACGGATTTTGGCTCTCGGCCGAGTATTCATTAATTGAGCGTGGGTCAGATGGCTAGGGAGTGCTTTTGGCCGCCTTGCCAACTACTTGTAATTGGGCTCCAGGGAGGGCTGAACTAGAGGGGTCGCTGGTAGCTAAATGCATTTAGGATTGCTGGCCATAAATCAAAGATCGCCTGATGTCCTCTTCATAACGGAAGCTGTGATAACTTGAATGGCAGACCAAGAGCTGAAGTCAGTGCATTAAAGTTAAATGGACTCGGGTCTAAATGCTGCAAATTGCTGCCATAACCAATGTCCAGGCTACATTGGCCACTGCATTCGAATGAAGATTGTATCTGTAGCTGCGTATCTTTATCTCTGTATCTACTACAATGGCCGTAGCTGAAACAATGGTAAATAACGACTAGAAAATTGTAAAAAATGTTGACAATGTTTCTCATTGCTGGCGGAATCCTTTGCCCTGAAGCTTTATTTTTAGTGCGACAGTAAATGCGTCACACCCCAGCCCCAGCCCTATGCCGGCAACTATCTCTATCTATCTTTATATCCGTCTCCATTCTGCATCCCGGCAGCCATCTCTTTCACCCGACTCGTTCCATCTTTTTTCTGCCCGGCTTTGGAATGCGCTCTTTTGCAGTTTTCACAGTTGAGTGCGCTCATTGTTTTCGCTGTCAGCGAGCGGCGCGTCGACAATGAATAATTAGAATTTTGTTGAAGGTCCATTGCTCATTGCTCCACAACCCACTCCCTTCGCCAAAAAAAATATCCGAAACCCCTCTCAAACACGCAGCCACTGTTTGCTGGGGCCAATTCATGCGACTTTTAATCTGCTGGCCATGGACAGCAAATCAAACAAAAGCGATTTAGTTTTACAACGAAAAAGCGCTTCAAATTTCAGCTTCTGCATACTACACTTTATATATAGTATATCTGAAATCGAGTTTGGTATCAGCAAACAAATTCCCAATAATCTATGTCTGTGTTCAGATGACCGAGTTATAGTACGGCGGCAACACAATAAACGCGATTTGAAGCATTTTTGATTACAACAAATGCGAATATTGTCCCTTCTTTGGTGAGAATGGCCCAAAAATTGCAAATACATTCAAGTTTAAATGGAAAAGTTTTCAATGCAAGCCTTTAAGTGAATATCAAACATTACTTACATCAAATTAAATACCACAATTTTACTCTTTTCACTGACAATTGGAACAAAAAGCCAAATTACCCGCATAAATCCGCGGCTAGTTAGGTCTTTATTTGAAATTCTTGCTCATATTTTATGAGTATCATCCGCAAGTTTTCACATTCAGGGGCCAAGAAGGGCCACGATTCAATGCGATTTTCAAGTGCATAAATAAAATCTCAAATAGACGCCATTAAGAGCATTTTAGCCGCCATTAAAGCAATATGGAAGCCTCCGTCCAGGGTCCTTTCGCAGACTATTATGTCAAGAAATACGATTATCGCGTAAAATTAACGCGAAATTAATGCAAACTACGCGTTCCAGCCCAAGGATGAGTCTCCGCCAAGGATGTGCTGGCTTGGCGGCGGGTATGGGATATATATCCTTTGGCAACGCATTTAGGAGCAATCTCAACATGGGCGTTAATTTTCTGAATTGTAATCAACTGGGAAACTGGGCGTGGTAATGAAGTTGTTTCGGCACCCAACCATTGACCACGTCAAAGTCAACACTTCAACAAGTGCAAACTGGGCGGGGCCCGAAAAAAATTCAACCTCAGCCAGGACCCAAACAATGGCCGGCGAGTAAAAAATTCCGCATTGCCCCCAACGAGCCCCGTTATGCCCAGGCCGCGAAACAATGGCGCTCCTAAAACAATGCCCGGCGACAAAAGGTAACCGCGAAAAGGATAACTCAAAGCCAGGAACTCAGAAGAGCAGGACCTGGGCTAGTTCCACAACCGGAGCTGGAAAAACCACAACCGCAGGTCTAAGCTCCTGGCGTTTTGGAAACATTCCATAACTCTATGCCACCCCAGTACTTCCCCTGGGGCGTGTTTTATTTCTCCCACACCAAACCCCTAGGCATCACCACCCCTAGGCTCCCTGGGTAGCGAAATACTAGTGCAGCGAAAATTTGTTAAATTAACTTGATATAACATACTCTATAACATTTTCGCAGCAGGCGTGGCGGTTAGCGGGAAATTTTGGCCAATAAACCAGGAATTAAACCGGATTTTCGCAGCCATTGATTATAAAATTTGCATTGGCGGCGATTGCAAATATAATCAATTAAGCTTTGATTTATGCATGCCATTAATTTGTTGTGTCAAAGTTTATTTAAAATTTGACTATCCATATCTATAGTGGAAATATAATATGGCTAATAAAACAAATACCAACAACTGTAGTTTATTTTTAAATCGCACCTACCTGGCTTCTGTTTTAAATTTTTTCTTTACAAAGGTTTCTATAAAATTGTTTAGTTTTTTATAGAGTGGGTGTTGGGAAGTTTATCCCCCTGCTGCTTGTACTGTAGTGTCTAAAATTAAGGTGCAACTTTAAGGCAAATAAGCTGCGGACGAGTGGCAGCAACACTGAGGCAGAAACAAGAAAGGACGAGGGGGAAACAAAGTAAATTGTTGCTGTTCCCTAGTAATAAAATATTTGTCGAGCGCCATTTACAAAGCCATTTTCAAGCTCAATGTACTTTCAAAGTAATGCGCTCCACCTGCCCGCGTTCGCTGCTGCCCTGCCCCACCTTGCTACTCCAGCTTTCTACGCCCACTTGCCATCACCTGCCCTCTCTACTCCTGCTCGTTCTATTCCTTTCTGCTGGTAGAGCACTGGCAGTTGTTCTAGTTTTTATTGCCAGCGTTTGCCATTTTATGGTCTCGTTTCAGGTTGCTTAGCCTGGTTACACAGAAAGAAATGTACTCAAAATGGTCAAAAATAAAAATTTATTTGTCCTAGATGTGGTTTAAAATATTATAATCCCCAATAAAAAATTGTATCCAAAAATTGCAAATATTTTGAGACCTATACCATTTCTTTCGGTGCAGTACTGATGATTCTTATGCTGCTGCTTGTGAAAGTGAGTTTAGGTGCGATATTTGAGGCATCAGTGCCGCCGTTTGTCGTCGTTTGACTTGCTAAACACGTGCTTTCATTTAAAACGCCGTAAATACGTCGCGTTTTTTGTATGTTGACATTTTGTTGGAGCCAGATGCCACCCAATGTATACAATTTTTATTGAATATTTTTCATTTGAAACGAGATTCGCGGTTCCGTGAGCTACATATCAAAGAGTTGACCGTCCTTGAATTTTTCAATACGAATAAAAAAAGTTAAATAAATCTTCGTGAATCACATTAAGTGTACAATTATTTAACCAGATTAAAAACCTTTCTATAATATCTGTATTTATTATTGAAGTCACATATGCATAATATTTTATTAAGCAAACATATCTTTCTGTTATCATACCAACAGAATAAATATGTAAACAAATTTCAACATCGGATGCGTCGTAATGAGGGCTTCTTCCAGATTAAAACATATTCTCATACATACTCATTTATATTGGCCATATGTTGGAATGAAGAATAAAAAATAAATAGTAAAATGGCAAATGCAACCTCATGACCAAAAGACGTGCAAAGTGCAGGCGATTATGCCAGTCATAAACCGATTAGGTCCCATGAATATTTATGGTCGGACGCGACCGGGGCAGAGCTCAGATGGAGCTGCAGCCGGAAAGCGACTGGAGTTGAATGGAATGCAACAAGCGAAGGATTTTTCCACTTAGTGGGGTCATAATCATATTTCCCTTATGTGAATGAAGACGAAGCAATAGAGAGAGAACAGCTTGCAAAGAAAAATATTAAAGATTGCCATATGAAAGGATAAAATCCTTTAAGCTTCTTTAAGGAGTACAGTTTAAAGCAAACATTTAAATTTTTTAAAGATTTTTCTTTAATTTTTAACCAAATTTATTAATAAATCAAACTTATCTGAAAACCTTTTCCGTTGTCTAAGAAATTTAAAAGTTTGAGCCTTAATCGCTTACCAATAAATTCTAAATAAAAACCCCAATGCAAATATTTGTGTTTTTTGGGTGTAAAATATTTCTCATACATCCGATGCTGCTTTTGACAGTCTGTTTGTTTTCCGTTGTTTCGATGTTCACAAGTTCAGCAATAGGAAAAATCAATAACACGTTTTTCTCCGTTTCATTCGGATGCAATATAAATAAAATATTTGCATTTAAAAGGCTCTTCATCACCCCAATCTGAATGAAAGTTATTGGCAAACACAATTTTTTGTTTCGGCGGGGTAAATGATGGATGGTAAACTAGTCCCCTCCACTCCAAACAATCCATAAAATCGCCCACTGTCACCAAAGAGGCAACTAGACATCCTAGATGAATACAGTCATGCAGATACATTTGTATATTTTGCCATCCATCACTTGTCTGGGCAAAATGATGTCTTGACCTTCGCCAACAGAATCTGGGTGGGGCAAAGATTTCGGCTAACTGATTTATGCCTGGTATGGATTGAATCGATTTTAATCACTCCCATAGGAGAGTGCAATCAAGTGCTCAATAAAACACAGGCTAGTCCTTTCCACACCTCCTTATTCAAAGGACTAGGGGTTGGGGTTGCGTGTTTGTATTATTTCCGCTGATTTGTTCGCCGATAAATCTCTTTGTCGCCATAATCGTTAAGTCGTTCATTCGTCACGGACTTTGATTCCCATCACAAGCTA